ATCGGCAGTGCTTGAAAACGGGTGTAGCGAGATAGTTGCAAGAATGAAATGGACGTGAGGCGCTGGAATCAGCCGAGCGAGAACTGTATCAAGTAAATTAGTAAAACGCCGGCGTAGCCGAGTTTGAGGCCAGGAGCCAACAAACTCATCAATAAGACGAAAAAGAAGCCGGCTTGGCCGCTCTCAGGTCTCTCTCTGGCCGTGGTTTCAATCCAAGACGCCGGCCACGTTCGTTCCCAGGTGAACGTCGCACAACAGGGTCATGTTGCTAGGTTAAACGTCGAACGCCGACTTTGGAAGATGCCGAAACGCACCTGTCCCTTCGAGTGCGCCCTGTCGACGCAGCTGAAGGTGCACGTGGGGGAGAAGCAGCTGGACAACGGCGTGTCGAGCGAGCAGCGGATGAAGGAGGTTTACGGTAGGTACTTGGCACGCTTCGCGAGTTAACCGGGCAGGCTCTCCTGCGAGGACTGCGAGTCTCACTCCACGCGCACTTTCAGACAAGACCCTGAGCTTGCTCAAGGCAGGCGCAAGGGCGTTCGTCCACAAGTTAAACACGGGAATGGACTCTCCGGATCCGACTTCCCCTCGGCGGCCGTCACCGTGCAAATTCAGATCCACGTCTTGTCTGAGGCAGATGCTGCTGACCGATAAGTTGCAACTGAAGCCCAGCGACAGGATCGTCAACGTAGGTCGATCGCGGGACCGCATTGGCGTCCGGACCACCTTGCGCAGTTCACTGACCGCTTCGTTTCTCTTCCAGGATGTCCCGGTGGACCTTTGCGGATGCGGCCGACTAATAGATCGATCTACGGTGAACGCGTGCTACTACTGCGATCAGGCGCTGTGCTCCTACTGTCAGTCTACGTGCGCCAGCTGCGCGGAATTGTTTTGCCAGAACTGCTCTCTACCTGTGTGAGTCGTAAGCCGGTGCGCATCCTCGCGTAAGTCTCGTGCGTACGATTTGTAACCGTGTGTCGTTTCGTTTCAGATATAACTGCGACGAGCAAGTTATGTGTCTTAATTGTTATCGATAGCTGCCAAAAGGTACTTTCTTCCAAGGGCTCCTCTCACAAGAAATGCATACTCGTAGCTTTGCCACTGGTCTACTGTAATTTTACGTACATACAAATTATATATCATTGTTACGAAGGATATTCAAATCCTGGACAGGTCTTTCAGTAATTATGAATTCTCGTCTATAGAAGTGTTTTAATGATTGTATAAAATTTTTACTTATCTAATTAATTATTTAAACATTATTTTATATGTAAAAAGGAATTGTTATGAACAGTTTTTAAATAGTATTGTATAATTGAGAGTCTACAAAGAGTGGAAAAAATTGAGGCGCAAATCTGTACTGAAGAATGTATATATGTATATACACGTACACGCGCATTTTCTTGTATCTTGAATATTGGATGTGCATCGTGGTACCTCGTTAAGTGTTTGAGAGAAAGTGTCGATAAAGAATGTAGAAATTTCCTAAATTAAGTTTAAAAGTCACGCTGTTACCCTTATCTCTGTTTATTTAAAATATAAGATACAGTTGTAGCCTAATATCTTTGATATTTTATATATAATAAATGATATAAACTATAATAAATTATGTGAGTAAATCGTGTGATTTCGCTTCGTTTGTTTTCAATCGTTGCAATTCACAGTGGAAGCTTCTAAATGTGAAATTTTCTTAATTAGTGAAAAATAAGACGTAAAATTAAAAACTGCTCAAGTGTGACAAAGTTTTAAGGATATTTAACAATTCTTCCAAAATCTCATGATTTCTAGTTTTACATAAATGTATAAAGTAAACAAAGAAGGTATAAAACGTATATAAAACATCACGTGTATTTTTGAAAATGTATGAGACGTAACTTTTTTCCCCACTTGCTATTTGAATTAAGTACATCTGTATGTAATGAGACAAAACGGTCGATAAAACTTGTGTCTGTTAATTGCAATAAAATGAAGTACTGCTATTCTGTTATGGAAACCTTCGTAATTACGTAGATTGATATTATTTATACATTTTAACGTATACAGTTTATAAAAATATAACAACGAACTGATTCGTTTAAACATGAACATCACTCAAATCGATTCACGAAGTCTTGTACGAATTATTGGTATTACTTTTGCGATACTACTTACTTTTATTGCGACAGATAAAACTCAGTTTATATTATAATAGAATCGTTAGTGGACTATACAATTTCTTCGGTTAGTTCCATTATAAAATGATATAAAAATTATTGGTAACGTCTGATTAATTTGCTGCAACGTCAACAGAGGAAAAATGCTTGTCGGACAGTGCTCTTGCATGATTCATACGATAGTTATGTCCGTAGAGTCCTTCACGGTTTTACGGAAATTCGAAAAATCCACGGCTAAATCAATTTCATCTACTTCCTCGCCAAGGAGATGGCCCTCCACCTCGTGTTTTGACTTTCCAAATATTCTGCAAATAGATTTTGCGATGCGCAGACATATTAAATTTTCATATTAGCTAATCCGTCGCTATCCAAAATAGCTGTATGTAACAAAGACACGTAGCATGTTAGCACGTTATATTAGTGCTATATTAGTTTTATAAATGCACTTGAGCAAAGTGTATGTATTTGTTACTTTTTCCGGTGATGATGTTACTAGCATGAATAACACAAAGATGCGATCTTTTGATGTAACGTATGATTATATTTTATGTAGGTGGCAAATGTGATCACTTATTGTATTAGTAGGTAGGATTAGGTAATGCAATTAAAAATACATATCTGAGTATTTATACATCAAAAATATTGGTACAGTAGAGTAAAATTCTTAATGCATCTAACAGTTTTTCTAATATTCCATAGCAACATCTTTACACATTTATTAGTTAGTTACTTAATTGTATTCAGTTATAAAGAATTATATTTATAATAAAAATAATTTCAAGTAGACAATACATTTCTCCCGCAGACGAGAATATTTTTGTTCTCAGTCTTATATTCTATCGTAAGTAACAAACCAGTATTTCCGAAGAATAAGCAAAACATTCATAACATTTGAAAAAATTTCTGTGGACAGAAATCATAATTTCGGTCAACTTTAGTAATTAAGAGCTAGGAATAATATAATTTCATACACAAAACCTTACATCTTCATCATTTTTAAAGAACATTACACACAGAATGATTCTTAATTATTCATAATCGATATCAATTTCTTTCATGTTAGGCGAAAATTAGTTTCTTTGTAATGAGACCCGCGTGAAACATTAATATGTATTTTCTTGTGACGGTGCGATTGTAGTGGTGCGGTGCTTCAGGCGCTTTTTTACCATAACCTTTTGAAAAAACTTGTCAAAATGATTAAGAAAATGTTTCGAAAGAAAATTTCGAGACCTTGAACTGAAATTTAATTATAATATGTATATTGAAATTAAATGCAATCAGGAATCAGTCTGTATATAAACATCCAAGTAAAATACAAGAAGACCTGGATTCATTGAAAGTGTCTAAATTATGTTATTTACAATGATATGAAATTAAGCAATTATCGATTAGTTATGTTTCACTTCGAACTGTTATTCGCAAACAATAATAATTGCATACAAACATGTCGATATTCCAATAAGCGATGGAGAGCGGGGGTGTAAGTTGCATTATCAAAAATAATTCTGTACATGGTTAGTATATAAGGAAATAAATAACGAACTTCTCCCGTTAACATTAATTAACTCTATATAATATTAAGCAATAGAGGGTTCGCAAGCTGTTTGCTTGTACCTGGACAGTGTGGACGTTGACTTGTCCAGAACTGGTGTGTACGTATCTTCTATTCCGCGATGGACTGATAACGTGTCCCAATCAATCATTCTTGCTGTAGAATCTGCCTGCATAGCTGCTAGGTATTCGGGAGTTTCCAACGTGGCTTTAGTCGGTTTACGATAACTGCACAAATTATCGGTATACATTGTTAAAACATTCTATTGACTGTGAAACGAACAATGTAATCCTTTTATATCTCTCTGTCTCTCTAAAATTACATTATTTTAAATCCATGATTAAAAAGTGGTGGCGAGTGTGGCGTGGAGAAATGTGCGCTGCTTAGTAAACAAATGAACGAAAAGATCCGAGTTCAAATTCACGGACACCGTTGGTTTTTTCGGACTCTCCCGAAAGGAAGTGGCAACCACCGAGATTATCTTGCCACACACACATCCCTGTATGTAGGGGTACAATCCTTCAGATGGGAGGTTTCTTTCGGCAAGGTTAGCAGCCTTACCGAAGATGAAGTAAATCAAATGCTCAAAGTGCCAGAACGAAAGCTGGATAAAACAGGCTTTAAGCCTAATACGCGAGGAAGAAGAAGGTTAAAAAGTGATGTAGTTACTTACAATTTCAGTAACAAAGAACTTCCTACCACCGATACGCTACTTAAAGCCATGGCAGCGGAAGACATCCAGGGCTGTAGGAAGAATCCAAAGGAGCTGAATACACCGGCGGCTATGGGAATGCCGAGAAGATTGTAGATACTAGCGAATAAGAAATTCAGTCTTATTCTATGGACCGTTTTCCTTGATAGATTTAAACACGCGATTACGTCCAGGAGATCGCTCTGCAACAGATTTGATATTGCTCTCGTATAACTTGTACAAGGCATCACTTTCACTTGTTATTCGCGCGCGACTTACGCGCATCAGAACCACATCGGCGGCCTCCACGGCTACGTCTGTGCCAGACGCGATAGCGATACCGACGTCCGCTTGAGCTAGAGCCGGGCTGTCATTGACGCCGTCTCCCACCATGGCGACTCTCAACCCCTGTTCTTGCAATCGCTGAATTTTAGCCACCTTGTGGGACGGTAACACCTCCGCGAAAACTCTGCTGATGCCGACCTATGTATTCCCAAGAAGTCAATAAACAATTTTATCTTATCGCAGAAATCATACAACGGTGATCCCGTGATTCCGTACCTGTCTGGCGATCGAAGCCGCGGTCTTCTTATTATCGCCCGTCAAGAGGATCACCTGCAATCCCATGTTCTTCAGGGTATAGATCGCGAGATGTGCCTCGGGCTTCACCGTGTCAGCGACACTGATCATGGAGACCAGAATATTGTTTATCGAGATTAAGACGGCGGTGCGACCTAGGTCCTCCTCGTCGACCATCCTCCTGTCGACTTCATCCGGAATCGTGATCGCATTCCGGTGCATCCACTCCCGATTACCGATGCAAACCTCGTACAAATCATCCACGGGGTCCTCGGTGTTGCGCTGGTTTGGATTTAAAAGTAACTGTAGATCAAACTTTTGCTTCTCCTGGACCTCTTCTACCGACTTGACGAGTGCCAGCTTGTCAATGGGCACATTATTGAGACTGAACGTTCCAGTCTGCAAGTCGCATGCCTGATTCATGTAATTGATAAGCTTCTCGGACCTCAGCGCATTAAACAGTGCAGCGTCCAAGTGAGTCACTTTACATTTTAAACCGCAGCCGGCGACCGCTTGAAAGTTCGAGCATTCTCCAGTGGTCGTTCCGATTGTGTCTTTCACGTAGCGTACGATCGCTTGAGAGAAAAATCAACGATTATTGCACAGAATGAATTCAATGTAAATGTAACGGCGCAGAAATCACGATACTTACCTGACCCGATAGGATGTTCGCTGTTTATCTCCGCCGTGCCGACGACCAGCAGCATCTTCCCTAATGTGCAGACCTTCTCCTCGACGAACATACCGATTCTGGTGACGAGCGGGACGCCGTGTGTCAACGTTCCCGTCTTATCGAAGACGACGCATTTGACCTTGTGCGCGTTCTCCAGCGGCTCGGCCCCCTTGATCAGGATACCGTTTTGCGCGCCTACGCCCGTGCCGACCATAACCGCGGTCGGGGTGGCCAGGCCGAGCGCGCAGGGACAAGCGATCGCGAGTACCGCCAGGGCGCTACGAAAGGCGTACTGAAATATGATTTCGTCGCGATTCGAGCTGCTTTTATTGATCTGATCGTTGTGCGACATGGGCAGCTCGACGTTCGCGTAGCCGATGATGATCCAAATTATTAGCGTCACTACAGAGACCGCTATAACCAGGGGTATGAAATAGCCGGCTATCCTGTCGGCGAGCTGCTGGATAGGCGCCTTGTTCGTCTGCGCTTCCTCTACCAAGCGGACGATTTGCGCCAGCGTCGTGTGCTCGCCCGTGTGCGTGGCGACGATCATCAACGACCCGTTCTGATTGATCGAGCCGCCGATCACCAGCGAGTCCTTGCTCTTTGGCACTGGCATACTCTCGCCGGTAATCAGACTCTCGTCGCAGGTCGATTGACCGGACAGCACGCGGCCGTCGACGGGCACTTTGGCGCCCGGGAGCACCTTTAGCACGTCGCCGCGTTGCACCATGTCGATGGTTATCACGTGCTCCGATAATATTACGTTGTTACGCCCTAGCGTGACTAACACCGCATCCGTGGCTTTCAAAGACAACAGTTTTGAGAGAGCTTCGGACGTCTTTCCCTAAAAGCGAAATGTTTCAGTGTTATTTTTGGCCGTGTCTTTTTAATACAACAGACTGAATCATGGTGATCACCTTTGCCACATGCTCGAGCCATCTTCCCAGACTGATGAAAACCAAGAGCATCGGCGGAGTGTCGAAGAACGTCTGTGGACTGACGTTCTCTTGCATTATCATAGCGGCGGCGAGGACGGCAATGGAATAAAGGTACGAGATCGTAGTAGTCATCGAGATTAAGACGTCCATGTTGGTCGTGCCGTGTCTCAAAGCTTTGTAGGCTTGCACATAGAAATGCCAGCCGCCAAAGAACTGCATAGTAATACAATTAATTCAAGACTACGCCTACGACGGAATGCGATAACGGATAAATGTTCTCTATCTCGTTGCGCGTACCTGCACCGGCGTGGAGAACACAAAGAGTAGTAGATTTTCCCAGGAAAGACCAGGTATTATGCAGCACATTTCCTCGTGCGTCTTGTTGCCGACTGACATGATCACCATGAAATATACCATCACTACCATGCACGGGACTCCGAAAATCAGCGACACCAAAAACGCCGTTCGCCATTTACTTATCAGTTCTCTGCGACATAGACAATAATCATTGAAGACCTTTGTATACCGCGCGCGCGCGCGCGACGCATAAATTATTCACAAATTGTATTTACTTTTGATCCAGGTAATCCCTATTGTCCCTATCTTGGTTGCTAAACAGACTGGCCGTGAAACCTAGTTTATTGATACAATCGACGATATGTCTGATGCCAGTCTTCTCCACGTCGTACCTAAACTTGCCCCGCTGCGTCGCTAGAGCGACCGTCGCCAATCGTACACCAGGTAGCTTCTTCACGGTGGACTCTATTTTATTTACGCACGACGCGCACGTCATGCCCAAGATCTGAAACGAACCAAGTTAGGAACGTGGCCGCGAGCTGTGCATACGAAGCAGTTTTCAATCTCTAACTTTCTGCAGAATTTTAACTTGTAATCTTTTTTACACCAAATACGCCCCAGACTCGCGCAACTGCGGACAAGCGGGATTTTTTCCCGCAACATCCCAAAGGGGCAAAGCGATATCTGCTTTCTATTAATATTATTGACGTCAATATGAAAATACACTCTAAATCTTACCCTCAACTCGACTTCGCTCTGTCCAGTCCCGGATTCCTCAGTTAAAGTCGTGGGAAAACCCAATTCCGATACGCTGGCAGCAATATCCGCCGGTGTGATCCTGTCAGGATCGTAACTGACTTCTGCCTTGGCGGCCATCAGTGCCACCAGTATGTTGTTCACACCGTATAGTTTTCTGCAGTGTTTCTCTATCGCAGCGACGCAGGAAGCGCTGGTCATACCCTTTTTCGCAAACAAATTAATCCATTATCCGCTTATGCTGCTTGAACGCTACTTCGTTAGCCTAATATTGCATTTGTAACATTATTGATTGGCTGCTGAATAGAAAATTTCTAGGTACTCGAGAATTTTACTATCCTGCAGCCAACCAACACGAAAAATTTGTCGTACGACAAATGTAACGCCAGCCTTAGGGCCTGAGCAGAATGGCTGTCTTGTACTCTTAAGACACGAGACCAGTTATTGTGCGTTACCTCAAGACAAAGGCTTGAAACATAAAACATTGTCTTAAGACTGTCTTGACCTATAACACAGCCATTCTGTTCAGGCCCCAACATGACAAATTTATAAATATACACGAAGGGTCGAAGGAGAGACACAACTTACCGTTATATGCAGGAAGCACTTTGAAAATTGATTTTTGACATCACCGATGCCATTCGCTTGCGACTCCGTCTTTCTCTTCTTCTTATCCCCCGCCTTTTTCACATACGCGGAGAAGCCCAAATCTTCTATATGCATTGCTATGTCACTGCTTGATATAGTACTATCACTGTAACATATTTTGGCTTCTCTATCCCGCAGACTGACGTCCACGCTGTTTATACCGGGCTTTGAGGACAGAACATCTACGACAGAGAAGATACACATTATATGACCCGCGCAAGAATTGTCGGATGTGAAGATCTTGTCCGACTATGAAGGATAACATTTCAAAGCTTCAAACTAAGAGAGCGTCAAGCGTCATTACTTGTTCATGTATCAACAGAGCAATCCGTTCTTTTTTTCAAGTGAGTGTAATGATTGTACAGACATAGGGAATGAAATTTGAGATTTCCTCGTGTCTAGTTTCCAGACACTGGCGTCGCTGAAATGAACCTTCATTAAAAGATTCATTAAAGGGAATAAGTCGGACAGGGATTCGTTTCATCTTCACACGTCGACTCACCGGTGATATTCTTGACGCACGACTGACACGTCATTCCGTCTATGTGTATGTGGCAGACGCCGGGGGTGGGTACTGTGGCGACGTCCCTTCTCTTGACGGGTTTCGGCATGCGGACGGTGAACCCCATGTCCTCGATCGCGTCCGCCAATTCTTTGGGCGTAATCTTGTTCGTTTTGTACTTGATGTAACCGACTTCCTCGTTCAGTATCACCTTGATGCCGATGACGTCGGACCGGTTGCGCATCGTCTTCTCGATGTTGTTCGCGCAATTGTAGCAGGTCATGCCATGGATGCGGAGTTTAATCGCGCTAACATTTTCCGTTGACATTCCCACGTGCATGATATCATCGCTGTCGTCCTCGTGACTATCCCTGCAAAATTTCAGAGCGATTTCAGGCATTTTGCAACGCAAGTGTCTCCTACGGTTTATTCGCGACCAGTCGATTTCAGTCCGATCTTTTAGCACAGCGTGGACGTGGTTGAAAGCCAGTGTAATGAGATGCGTGGACTGTACAAAAAGTGCTGATTAATGGTAACTGAATTTCTTCCCGAATTTCGTTCCGCGAGCAAGTTACAAGTTAACGGCCCGTGCGTTATTAATTCGCGGCATATAATATTCCGATATTCAACACCACGTGAGAAGAAACGATGAAAGGGGAGTCTCAGTCGGCTATCTCCCGGTTCAAAAATTCTCGCCTCTTATCTGCAGTCCGCGGCTCGCTGATAACGAGCAGTATGTCGACCGCGGAAGCAGATTTCTATGAGCTCCGCGCGGACAACAATGTTCAGCGCGAACAATGGCGAAGCGCTAGGCGGACGAAATCATGACTCATCGGTGTACTACATAGATATACGGGATTATAAATTGTAAATTTGAGATGCAGAGAGCAGGACTCGACTGAGAGGAGCCAATAAGCTCATCTCATTTCAATTCCCGAGGCTCAAGCTGTGCTCGCGTTACGCTAATCTCGAAGATGCTCGAGGAATCAAGGCTAAAGATCGCTTCCAAAACCATTCATTTAAAATTGACCGAGGTTGATCCGATGCTCGCATTTTTCCTGGTCCCCTTTGGTCCGCGAAGAACCGGGCAAGCTTTGTTGCCTCCCAATATGGACGCGTAACATTGCACAACAATTAACAATCGCAGTTCTCCAGGAGCTTACCAGCGAGTATCGACGGCGCCGTAAGTTTTGTTAAGGAGAGACGAGCTTTCCTCGTCTTTCGCTATCAAAGGGCAGTTCTCCATTCTACTTATTGGAAATCGTTACGCGGTTCCTTATCTGCCTCCTCTTGAACTCTCGAAAATTATCTATTTCCTATCGTCCGCGGCACAACAGATAAGCATGGGGAAAAAAACGAGTCGTAGAAGTCGGAAATTTATATTATCTTATATTTTCGACAAGTCGACGCGGGTGTTTGCTTATTTTCCGACGATTTCTTAAACGATGCCAAGGATTACCTTTTGAAAAGAAATTATTTACTTCGAAAGGGCGTCTTCAGCCTTTTTTATTTACGCGAGTGTCGCAACCAATCTTTAGAGAATAAGTAACATATGTTACTACGCAATTGGGTTTTCTTGTTGGCGGACGTTAATCGTGAGGAGATAACGCTCCCCTGACAATATCTTCGGGAAAATTCTGTTTTAATGTCCGCCTGCTTGCGCGGCCGCGCTCCGATAAGAGCCGCGATATGGAATCGCGATTCAATTTCGACCAAACGGATCCCCTATCGCGTCGTTCACCATGAAAACTCCGAACGTTTCGAACGGTCAGATACGCGGCAAAGGGAAGAAGAAACGATCCAGAGAAACGCACGATCGCCGATCTTCCCCCCCGGCGGAAATTGCGATTTTTCACCAGGCAGAAACGTTCGCCGACGCGATTCTTTCGGCGAGTCGAGGGCGGCGAGCGAGTGGGGAAGACGCGGCACCAAAATATTACGCGATACTCGACACGAATTGATATCACCGAGCGACTGATAACTTTGGTAATCGCCTGGCCTGAGATCGGCTGCTCACGGTTCACCTTTTTGCCCACGGCACGTCTTTCCACGGAGAGGATAAAAGCCGCGGGCGAGCGCACGAGCCGGCTGATACCGCGGACCAGCTCGATGTACGCGACAATGCCGAGCTGATGGAGGACCCGCTCGGCGAGGAGCTCGAATACTTGGAGTTCCGCCGAGCGTGCCAGTTAGACGGATGATCAGGACCAAATTGATTTTGCCGCCGCGGACGGAACGAACCCTCCCTCGAGCATTCTCCCTCGCCCTCCTCGGGTCCATCGGGAAAATAATTTTCGATTTACGGTAGAAATTCGATTTGCGCCTTCGTGTTACGCGAACCGACGATATTATATGTCTAGGATAATGACAATTGCGTTCTGGATTATTCTGAATTACTCTCGATTACCTCGCCCTGAAAATCGCGCAACCGTGGGAGAATGCGGCATTTTGGAGGATTTTACGTGAACTCTTTGAAAATCTACCATTTCGAACAGTCGTAAAACTCTTCAAGATACCGCGCTGTCCCGCGGTTCTCAGATAAATTTTGAGAAAATTTCTTCTCGCGTGCGATTTCTTCATATTTTAACGTCGAATGGCACTGCGAGATATATATGTGAGATATAATTACGAATTATATAATTGGCAATGCTTACGGTTGCACAACAATATTTCCCGGTGAGCGCATCCTCCTTGAATCGAATGTTAGAGATAAGAACGCGTCTGGTCGCCGCACCACGTCGTATTACAGCTCAGATGCATGCGAGCAGCCGAGTGTCTCTTAATCGCCGAACAATGCGGCATTTTATCGTGACGGAATGTCAAATTAAACCGAGTGCACGTGTACGATAAGTCGTGCGCGATCGACGTCGAGGGCAGACCCGATACGCCGCCAAGCAAGGACGCTCATGCGTATCTTGGCGATTTTTGCCAGGCTGTAATCTATCGCGAGATGCTGCTAACGGTGGATTCTGATCGTGGAGCTCGCGCGCAAGTGTATTTCGTGTCCGCGAATCGCTCGGCACGAGGCGATCTTAATTTTAACACGCGTGAAAGTTACCGGCTCAGGTAAAAGGCCTCCACGCTTTCTGCTCGTGGTAAACTTTCGTTTAGCAGACTAGACGCGTATACGGACTGTGGAAATTATACCGAGGGAACTTGATGAGGATCCCAATACGTATTAATGAGACTCTGATGGGGAAAATTGATTTCATTGTGCAAAAAACTTGCCATTTTTAAGCGAATGCATTCAAAGAATCGAGAATTACTTGAGACCTCCTCCCGAAGCAGATTTTCGGATAAACACATGGTGAGAATTGCCTTTTAAAAGAGTGAAAACAAGTGTCCATAGGCAATTAATCAGCGTTTCCGATGGTTAATTTTTCCGATTACATTTTAAATTACGGAAACATCCGATGAAATGCAGTTACCGATAAAACTTGATTGAAAAACCGATCACATTTTTCATCGGATGTATACAGCAATTTAATCGGACATTTTTCTCAGTGCAGTATTTATATAAATAAAATTTCAAGTTTCAATCAACCTCAGCTGGCCACACTTATTAAATACGATTTCACAACGTTTCGACCTTCGGTTTAGGTCCTTATCAAGTGAGATCTAAGTTCACATTCAGCGAGCATATTCTCTTTCTTATTTCAGATCTTCAAAGTGCACCGTGATGTTCACCGATGTTTCAAGACCGATTCCGAGGGCGAGAGAAAGAGAGAGTTTTATTTCCACTCTTGCCGCAATTAATGTAAAACCGACGATTCAATTTCTTGGGTCCGATTCCGTATACATAAACAACTTTGCATACTGACCCAAGCAATCCTATGTTTTCGCATGGTATCGAGCAGTCCACCTCGTCCGCCGTCGCGATATCCGTCGGATTGCGATAGGCCAGCTTCGCCTGATGGACCGACGGACCCCTGAACTTGGTCATCTCGCAGTTAAACGGCGCGATACGACGCCAATATTTCGCGCTCGTCTAGCGAAGTGACATTTACTTTGTCACCTCGAGCTATTAATTTCATATTTCTCCCGGCTAGCCGAGGGTTCGGCGGTCCTGAGAGGGTATCGTAGTTGAGTACCGCCACGAAAATAAGACAGGAACCTCGCGTGACCACCAGGCAGCGATAATTCGCTCAAGTAATCGTCACTGCTCTTCCGCGAGTCTAAAAGAGCACCGAACCCGACAACGGAGCCGCGCCAAGTCCCCAGATTGACTCATTGTCGTTATCGCGAACAACATTGTTAACGTTTTAAGTCGGCGGCACGTCGTAAGAACACATCCGCCCGGTTGTCGTGCAAAGATACAGTTTGGTCTCGCGACGATCAAGGACTCGGAGTAGCACGGGGAAGACGCGAATCGCGGCACGTGGTACGAAAATGGTACACGTTTTAACGTGCGTAAGTCGCGTCGAGGGCGTGATTATAAAAAGGACCAGGTGAGTCAGGCTACCTGGGCCGACTGCCTGGCCGACGAGCGTGACTCGGGCGAGAGAGAAAGGCGTGCTCCAGATAGCGGATTCCGTCCAGCGAGATTGAAGGGGGACTCAGCGATACTCCGTGCATGTGCGTGACGGAAGGAAAGAGAGAAAAAGGAATTGTTGCGTGTCTTACTGCGAGAGTGTCAAGCGGCTCGGAATTTCGACGAGTGTTGGGACCATTGGGGATCCTAAAGCCGTCTGTTTTACCGACATTCGTTGCTAGAAATAATCTTTTAACTGGCTTTATTATAGAAATGCAAAAACTCTTTTACGGAATAAAAGTACGCACCAAAATCTAGACTATGATAGATACAAGAATAAATACATAAAAAATGAGACCAGCATACTCTAGGGACAGCACATTAGAACAATATCGTGCAATTAGAACTAAGCCAAGAAAAAAAGATTGCTTCTAATAAACGCAAGTCCAGAAATCCAAGATAGGAGACGGAAATAGTTGCAAACATCTCTCAGATTGTCAGTAACCGTTGGGGACCGTCGAGAGGATATTAAACGCGACACGTTCTTAAAAAAATATCGGGAAAATGTTGTCTGCAGATTGACGTGAATTAATTTAAAGTAAATCTTTTCGCCCGCAAGTTTTATCGAGCGTTATCCTCCCTCGAGAGATCTTAATTTTCAGCGTTATCTCTAAATGATCTTACGTCAATGCGTATCAACAACAAAGTTGCCGTACTCGCGTCGCGTGCGTGATCTCGCTTAACAGCTATTAAACCGCGAACTGCCATAATAATTTATCGCCGCGTTATTTATCTCGAGACGCCGGGAATCGCAATGTAACGCACTCGCGTTTAATAAAGCGAGGACCAATCCAATTTTGCCGGCTCTCTCTCTTTCTCTCTCTCGTGTGGGATTTCCAACTTCTGTTCCATCTCATTTTATGTAATACACATTCTATACCTTCATAAATTACACTCACATTTTTATATAATATAGGTATAAGTTTATAAATTGCGTTCTCACTCACAGTCATACTTTTATCTATAGTAATTTTTTGTTTTTATGCTCTCACACTTTAGGGAACTTGTCCCAGAGCGTGTAATAAATAACGATTCTGATTCTGATTCTCTCTCTCTTGGAATTCATCTCTGAACAAAGGACGTTGCCGCTGATGGGTCTTCGGAAAAGGAAAACGCGCCGGGATAACTGCGTAGGAAATTAATAGCTGGAATGAGGCGTGATTCATTCAGCCAGATCGAGAAGACTCGAGAGAATCCTCCGTCAACGACGTAATTGTGCGAAACTTACTCGCAGGCGGGCGTCTCGATTAACACGTTGTACTTCCACGCGTTCTCAGAGCCTCGTGCCATTTCGCGTCGCGTCGCGTCGCGCGGAAAATTCACAAAATCTTGTGCGATTTTCCCCTCGTATTCCCGCGATCACACGGATACGCTCGCTATTCCGCTCGCCACGAACACTTTTGCCTTATCCCAGTCGCAACCAGCTGATACTCATCGAAACGAATACGCAATTAACGAGATTTTATAATGAGGCTGTCACGTGTCTCGAACGGATTCGAACGCGCGCCGACGTTGTTCCGGACGGGTCTGCTGCGCGCGACAACGCGGAGGACGACGCCGGGCGCACCTGTTAACACACATCCACGTTCGCCACCCCGCGTCGAGCGGATTCGGATCAGGTGCGGCCGTCCATTCGGGCTCCAGTTTCGACATTCGATCGGTCCTCCGGTTGCGACCGGTGACGTTTTACAGATACCACCGCGACTATGTTATTAAACAGTATCGTATTCTCGCGCCTGCCCCTCCAAACTGTATCAACGAAAGAATTCGACTACCGTTGAACCGATCGAGCCCGTGTATCCATGGTTTTATTCATACAGGCGCGACTTGGCCCCGGGAGATTAGTTAAAAATGGCAATATTCCTTGGCCGCAAAAGTAAAGGCGCTACCTGTTCGAACGTAGCCACTTTTTGACCGATAACGGAGCAGATAATGGGTAGGAGGTATTTAAGGTAAACTTGAACCTTGTACGACGGAATAATTTCCGCGTCCCGCCAGGCGCGATAACGTGCAAGCAACGTTTGCAGCCAATGTTTTCCGACGGCCGTCCCGCCGGCCTGGGCGACAGTAGAACGTGGAGCTCACGACTGGACTAAGCGCGACTGATTTAATTTTCGTAAATATATCGAACAGATGATGCGGTTTATGGGCGTGGAGAGGTCTGCTCAGCTGCAGCAGATAAGATAACCCCGATGGCAAAATTGGAAATCTCTTCTTGTGAGTCCCGCGAGCAAGGACGTCATTACATTTTTGCTGTTCAAACTCACACTCGTTCTTGCAACGAGACCGAAGCCAATGCTCTTGGTCTTTCTCTCTTTCTCTCGCTCTCTCTCTCTCTCTCTCTTTCTCTGCATGATTCACCGGTGACTCTCTGTTTATCTCTCAGGATTTCTTAATCATTAAACTGCAAAGTATAGGAAGTGTATCTCGCTCACCTTTTCTTCTTGGAACGACGCTTCTTGCCGCTTCTAACTCCGTCGGCGCTTTTCCCTGCAAGTAGATTTCATTGTACAATAACTCGTAATGTTAATCGATACTTGTGCGTGAACAAAATATTAGTCGCTCGAGACGAATTTTGGAATGCTTAAATAATTGTATAAAAAGCAACAGATTAAGCAACGTATTTAAATTAGGAAAGCTGCAATGTCCCGAGATTCAATGTTAAGATTGCAGAGAGGCTGAGCGAAACTGAGGAACTTTGTGGCAATGTGTGCAAGCCTTGGCAAAATGGCCGTCTTCAAGGCAATGTTTTAAGACCTTTTAAAGTGGCTCACAATAATTGTCTCGTGGCTTAAGAATGCAAGATAATTTTGCGTTTTACGTCCTTATTTTAAAGTGGCTCGCAATAATGTCTAGCGCCTCGAGAATACAAGACAGCCATTCAGCTAAGGCCCTTCGGCCCCAGGGCTTGGGCAGAATGGCTGTTTTGTACTTTTAAGACATCATGCGTTTTAGGCCTCGTCTACAAGCTGCGCTCTTTGCGCCTAGAAACATTCTACTTTATATAAGCAAAATCAAAACGCTTAAAAACTTCGTCAACAAAGTATGATTGTACAATGTGCAATTTATCGACTTGCGCAGATTGTTTAAACGTCACTACAAAATGAAGCGACGCACAATGTCTGCCAAGGCCCTGTACTTTTAAGACAATGTCCTGCGTTTTAAGCCTTTGTCTTAAGTAACGCGCGATATCCGTCTTGTGTCTCACGCTTTAAATGTGGTACACGGAGACAACGGTCTGCAAGCTTGCGGAGTAACAAGACGCAGACTCAAAGCGCAAAACATTGTCTCGGGTGCAGCAGCTGTTCCGCCAAGGCCCTAAAAACTGAACGGTTAGACGGGCAGAAAACTGACGCGAGCGCTGCACTCGGGACGCTGATTTCGAAGACTAGAGATTCCGGTCATTTCGCAAGCAACTGACAACAAAGGGAACTTGCGACCGAACGTTCTAAAGCCTCGTGTCCACGATCCAAGAACTGTGTCCAAGTTCTGGTTCCGAGAAATGTGTAAGCTTGCAGCTATTCCATAAAAGCTGCAACTTGAACGCAGCCTTCGGATTCGTGGACACAAGGCTTAAGGGACGCTCACTGGCACTGTATTTCAGACTTCGTCTTATCTGTCGTTATCGTCGTAATCCACATACAAGACTACGAAGACGGCGGACAAAGATTCAGGTCGTTCGCTCGCGCCCGAAGGCCTGCGTCCACGGCGCTAGAACCTGGCCCCAAGTTCTAGTTCCGCTTTTATGGAATAGCTGCAAGTTGATTGGCTACACATTTCTCGAAACTGGAACTTGGACCATGCTCTAGCACCGCTCGGCACAATAAGGCGGCATTCGAACATCACCCGAGTGCATCGTTTCATCCATTTTACCCCTTGAAGGTCCGTGCCCGCGATGCTGTAACTTGGTCCAGAACTTGGTCCAAGTTCTGGAGCCAGTTCCAGCAACGTGGACACATTCGCCTCAACACTCGGTGAACGGCACGGATAAAATGATACACCGGGCACTCGGGGTGACGTTCTTGAACGCAGTCCAGGAGCACGCGTCACCCTGGAGCGTCCGAGCGCGCCGAACGGTTCACGCGCGGCTCGAGCGTCGCCCAGCGCAGTCTTCTCTCCGTCACAGTTGACTCTTGGTAAAAAGCTCGCTTTGCGTAGGCATAAGGAATGCGGCGGCGAGGCCGCGCCGGACAGAGTCGGTCGCGCCGAGCCGACGCGCGCTCGACGTTTTATCCGACGACAAATACGCAACTATAGGACACCCCGACTGGCAAAAAACGTGCGGAGCGTCAGTGTCGTCGCACTTTCGGCGGGGTCGCCGCGCTCCATACGTCGGGGCCGCCGATGGCGTTACGCTCCATCGATCGAAGGCGTTCCGACACCGAGGCCCGCGACACGGCGCTGGAACAAGAACGCAAGGATTACGGTCCGGGGCGCAGGCGACGCGCGACGTACCTCTGCTCTCGCGTCCGCTCCGCCGGGACTCCGACTGCTTCGTCATCGACGTCATCTCCATCTTCCCTCGCGTTCGGGCGCAGCGACTCGGGCGGGCAGCGCCGTTGTATCATACCAACTGGCCGTCCCTTCAGCGGCAGACGCGCGCACGCATCGCCGGGCGATTCGCGCGCGCGACGTAGGACGCGAAAAGGACGGAGGGCGCGCGCGTACACGAGCCACGGAGAGCGGGCGGGCGGGTCCACTTGCCTCTTCTCAGCCTCTTCACGGGCGGCTCGTAACCTTAAGCGCGTCCGCCTCGCACCCTCCGCGACGCGGGCAGCCCACCACGGCGGCGTGAATGAACGGCGCGTCGCTCCTTGTGCGCGGGCGCGACTGCCGACGGGCGCGCGGAGCGGGATCGTTCGCACGGCACGCACCGAGCTGAGCGAACGAGGGCGGACGCGGGCGCACACGCACGCACAGCGCGAACGGGAGGCGGAAGATGGACGCGGCGCGGCGCGCGCAAAACGAGTGCACTCGCGCGCAAGCTGAGTGCACACGCGCCGCTCCTGTCAACAGACGCCCCCCCCCCTTTCCCCTCCACGCAACACGTGACCGCTCGGAGCCAGAGACCAGAGCGCCCAGCTGACGCGGCCGAAATGAATCGCGCACAGCTGATCGCCCGGCTCTGCTCTTTAAATTTGGCAAATTTGATAATGCGATTTGTTGACGGTGTCTTTTGGTGAATTTTGAACGTGGCCTCTCGGCCCTACGTGCCGCGCGAAGCCGCGCGCGGCCAATTGAACGTGGAGAGTGTATTCGAGGTCCGGGGAGGTGTAATTGTTGACTTTTAGATCGCGTCCGCGAAAAGTAGCAAACATTAATTTCTCTTTGTATTGTAAAAATATCTACGAAATAGCGCCGCAAATTGCGACTCAAACCAAGAAGTTATTGCAAGTGGCATTTCATGAAAATGTACAATTTTGTGAAAATGAGCGCGGAACTTTACTAATTGTAAAAATATGAGAAACCACATCTCAAAGAATTGAAACATCCGCTCACTTGTAGACTATTACAGGAGTCGACAAAAGTGTTCGAATTCTAGCATTTCATGTTGATTTCTTTTTAAATTTACGTGGAATTTCTTAGATTCTTATATTTTATAGTTTCGTTGAATTTTGTAGAATTATTTCCTGCGGGGTAAAAAGGCGATACCGAGAGAGTGAGAGAAAAACGGCGGCATTTTTGTGTTTACCGACGTAAAATAATAGCAGCTCTTGCGCGCGCGGCAGTGAGGTTAGGTTTTCGGCGCAAGCGCGAGGTTAACTCAGGTTAACTATCGCGAGGAATCGTCCGCTCGGTAGACCAGACGTCAGCAAAGTCGACGGCTCCACGTGTCTAGATGCGCGGATATGATTTTTTACTTCTTAATGTAAGGGACACCGCTCGTTAGCAGCTCGTTAGTGCGCTCCTCCTGCATGGTGTGTAACTTGCGAAACGAGTTCTCTAGCACTTAAGAACCTTTGCCGTCTCTTTGGCGACCGTCCGTTTTTTTTCCGTATCCGTCGCTTCCCCGTCGGATTTTGGATTTTTATCTCGCGACGGTGCTCAGATTTTGCGCCCGGTCTCAAACTTCGCAGTCGCCGCGCGTCGATTCCGTTAGGCCCTGTCTTTCTGCTAAAATGTACCCACGTCATCGTTTAATTCAACTTTTCTTCGCAGAACACCCGCAATCTTATTCGCAAACATGCTGCTGCTGATAGTCGCGTGCAAGGTGCTCTGCGTACTTGTCCTCTTGCCGATTCTGCTGGTGAAGTGGAGAAAATTTTACTCGAGGAAGCGCGAGGAGCGACTGCGGACCGGAACGGTCGTCGGGATCTTCCATCCGTACTGCAACGCGGGCGGCGGAGGCGAGAGAGTGCTCTGGGCTGTGGTTCAGGCTATACAAAATAAGTACGTGGAGTAATAACGCTTGTCTGATGCTAACAGAGGAGAGAGAGTCCCCTGTCAGCGAGACGGGCTTCTAATATCCCAGATAGTACAAGACGCAAACATTTTAAGAACATTCTACAAGAATATTTGGACCTATTCTATAGGTCATTCTCGAGGGGGAAACCGCTGACCAAAATCTTTTACACCAGTGCCCACTGGGCATTACTTTTTCTTACATCGAACTCGACTTACCCAAGTGTGTGTACTTTTAGATACCCTGATGTACATATAGCTATATACACCGGCGACCTAGACGCGGATCCCGAGAGGATCGTCAGCAAGACCGAGAGGTCGTTCAACGTGAAACTGCGGCCCAACATCGAATTCGTCTACTTGCACGGGCGCAAGTGGGTGGAGGCCTCCACGTATCCTTACTTCACGCTTTTGGGGCAGAGCCTGGGGTCCGTTTGCCTCGGCATCGAGGCACTGAACAATCTCACGCCAGGTGAGACGCGCTATTTTACGGCCTCTGGTAAACGAAGGCGGGAGTACAAGTAACACGCGACTGTACAAATTGCAGACATATACATCGACACGATGGGCTATGCGTTCACGTATCCTCTATTCAAATACATCGGTGGATGCCGAGTCGGATCGTACACGCATTATCCCACCATTTCGACTGACATGTTGACGTACATCTACAAGAGGCTCGCCGGGTACAACAATCGAGGTCTCATCGCCAGAAATCCTTTTTTCTCGCACGCGAAAGTCGTTTACTATAAATTATTCGCGCGTGTGAGTATACGAATCCGATCGGTCGATTTTACGGGCGGGGAAACAACACTAAAGTCTTTTCAAGCGGTTGTTTCACAATAGAACGTTTCAGTTGTACGGATTGGTGGGTAGTTGCTCCGAGATCACGATCGTGAACTCCTCGTGGACCGAGGACCATATCAACGCTATCTGGAAGTGTCCGTTGAAAACGCACCGAGTGTATCCCCCGTGCAGCGTGGAGCATCTGACGCAGCTGCCGTTTCTCAGCGACGAGGAGAAGGGCGACTGCACGCGCATACTGGCGATCGCGCAGTTCAGACCGGAGAAGAATCATCCGCTCATGTTGAGGGCGATGTTCGAGCTGAGGTCTATTCTTACGGAGGAGGTCTGGGAAAATGTGAGTTCAATCAGTCACCTCGACAGCATCGAGATGCACTCTAAACTTGATTTACAACTTGCTGTCCAGGTCAAGTTAATCTGCATCGGTTCCTGCCGAGACGCCGAGGACGAGAGGCGCGTCAAGGATATGGAGGACCTGGCTAAACACTTGGCATTGGAAAAGAACGTCGAGTTCAAACTGAATGTACCGTATTCCGAGCTCGCATCCGAGATGCAGAGAGGATCCATTGGTCTGCATACAATGTGGAATGAACACTTTGGTATCAGCATCGTGGAGTGCATGGCCGCGGGATTAATCATGGTGGCCCATGCTTCCGGCGGTCCCAAGTACGTCTCGCAAAAGTCTTTTTGATGAAGAGGTTCTCCGTCGTAAAAAAAAAATATTCCACGTTTTTAATTCCAGGGCAGACATTATAGAAACGCGAGCGGGCAGTGTAACTGGTTTCTTGGCAGAGGACGAGATAGAATACGCCAAGGCGCTAGCGTCCATCATACATATGCATCCAAAGGACCGAGATGCTATTAGAATTGCTGCCAGGTAATAAACGCTGTCAAGAATACTTTACAATTGCTTTACAGTATAAAGCACGGTTTCTGCTATATATTGATTTCCCTTTTCAGATCGTCTGCAAATCGTTTCTCCTCTCAGATCTTTGAGAAGGAATTCCTACGAGCGATCGAGCCGTTCTTCAGATCGAACCAAGAGTAGCGTTTGCCTTACGGATTGGTCTAAAAGTCTGGTAAATTACGGATGTGTGTTTGTGCGTGTGTATGTGTGCGCGCGTGAGTATATACATTACTCATTTCAAAATTATTTCGAACTCAAGAATGTATTTTCAGTATATATATATATATATCATCCCGTAATAGCGTGTATAATAAATACGTATAATAATGTTTTCTATACGAGATAGATTGACTCGTTTGGAGACGCGAAACTTTCCGATTGACTTGCATTGATTTGTAGGGTACAGTACATTTAACGATCACGATTCTTAACACACAAAAACCGCAGTACATTGTACATACAAACGACGCTTGCTAATAATGCTGCATTATTTTGCAATGGCTTCAACATGTTTATAAAACTCTAGAAATACTCGTGAAAGTTTATGAAAATACGCGTAAACGTTAATGTACGTCCATGTTACAATTTATTCGTAACGTAAAAATCAAAACGGAAAGCCAATTGGTCGGCTTACGTGATACTTGCATCGAAATCGTAAATCACAAGCGCAACGATAAATTATTAAGTAACATATGGTCAATGTTTAACCAGACTGTCGTTAATCAATCCGCATCCCTGGCATTCCAGGATGTAGGACCCGGCGCCCCCGTCTTCGGCGTTTCTTGATAAATTGAAACGAAGTCCACGTTTACCCAACATTATCTTCGCCACCTGCATAGCAGTGTCCGTGTGACAGGTGAGCTCCTCGTCTCCGACTTTGATCCGCGACGTACCTTTCGCCAGTGCCATTAAGATTATTATCTACAACAAGTGACGCGTTAATCCAAAAGTTCAAGTCCAGCCCTTGGAGCACGTTATCCGTTTTACCTGATCCTGCATGTCTACGTCGACACACGACCCTGTTAGGAGCGGGTTCAGAATTTCGCGAGCCGCTGCTTTACCGGGCGGCATTCCCATCTGGTGCTTAGGATCTAAGCCGGAGCCGCCGAGGACGCATCCCGTACTGGTGTTGCACACTATACTAATATTCATTTATATTTACATTATTGCTATTTTGTTACTCAATATATGTATGTAGATTGGAAAAGGCAATCTTAATAGTCCCTAACTTAATACCGCAGCCGTTTCCGACCGCCAATCCTCTGTCTTCCCTGTAAGCTTCAATTGTGATCGGCGGTACTCGAATGTTATTTGTTACTAATTTGTCTGTTAGCCACGCCTTAGCATCGTCGGCCATCCTGCACGCCTCCTACAAAACGTGCCACGTGAGCAAGCTTAAATCCCACTGGAGTTCGCTTGTAGGCTCGACGAAGATTACGTACGTTAATGTGAACCGATCCAGCGACGTAAGCCCATCCTGTTATTCCCAGGGGAACTCCCAGGTCGGTTAAGGTGACCGCGTTTAAGTTACGGACCGGCTTCAAGCGTAGATGCAACTCGCCTCCTCCCTTTGGATAATATCCCCTCGATTTATCATTAATTTTAGTATAAATAGAACAACGTGATCGCAAATTTAACGGCAGGTGCAACAAATTTCGTGCGTATACCTCTTGACGATCACGAAGTCGAAGTCTGCTCCGAATTTGTTCAGCATCGGCTTGAACACCTCCGTTAAATATTCTATGTGCGGGCTCATGGGGACGTTCGTGCCGCCCTTGAGGATGAGCGTGATCGGGTCGTCAGACGGGAAGAATAGGGCGCACGGCAGTGCTGTTTGCGCCAATAAGCAAATGCTCCCGGCGGTTTGCGTGTCCGCCACAAACGTCCTCTTGGCCGTGTTCGGTGGGCCGGGACGGAATTCCAAGTGCGTCGATCCTATGTATCCTCCTCTGACTTGGGCGTTGCACATCTCCTTGACCAGCTCCAGGCCTGCGACAACACGCGGAGTCGAGTCTCGGTCTCGGGCGAGTGAAATATTGAATTCCGCCTTCGCGTTACCTTTCAAGTGCTGCGCCGCGAGACCGGGCTTGGGCCGTCCGGCGCGAATATTATCGATCTCGATCGGGATGCCGTAGAGCGCGCTCAAGCTCAGGGCAACGCGCAACACTTGTCCACCCTTGGAAGGAGAATCGGGAGATTAGACGTTCCAGCGTGTATCATTTGAAAGGCGGCGATTTCTACGTGGAAGGATAAGTCAAGCCGGGACTTTTGATTGTGCGGAATAACAGAATGAGAGTGCAAACTATCTTCGTTTCTCGATGTGATCTCCCCTGCGTTTCACTGAAGAAAGATTTCGCAGTACGCCATGGCTTCACGTTAAAACGCTGGTCTCTCGGGAACTTCTTTGACGACGAGTCAAAGATCCAAAGAACAAAAATACGGTATTCGAGACGATTTATGCATAGATGAAGCGCAAAAAGGAAGAAGAGATAGAGCGAAGGCTGTCAACGGTGACGGGCAAATTTGTCGAATTAAACAGTACAGAGAGCGCTCTGGGAGGCCAAGACATGTCGGTAAACGGATCCAAAGGACACAACGCGCAACGAAATACTTGGAAGCGTAGCTCGCTCCCCTCGGGACATAAACACGCCGCACGTTGGCGCACGTTTAATCCAATGTATTCAATCTGAAAACGACGACGTTCCCCGGGTGCTCGTCCCCCACGTCGGTACTTACACCCTCGCCCAAGCTGCCGTCTATCTGCACGAGGGACGACATGACGCGACTCCTGAGCATCCGTGCGCCCCGGTCCGCGTCGAAGGAGGACGCCTCGCCGGTTTATTTTCGGCGCGCCGCGAACTTCTGGGGAAAACAAAGCTGTGTAAAAGCCGTTGTAAGCGCTCGCTCGAGGAGGGAGGGATACTTACATCTAACTATAGAACGGGATTTTGACAGACGTCAACGGGGGGGTGGGAGGGAACAAATCGGACGATCTGTCGGGGGTGAGACCCTCTTCCAGTGTCATAGAACTGTATTTTCCCCGCGCTGGCACGGTGCTTTGACGTTTCGACCGCGTCCCTACGTTCGAAAGCGTAACGGAGGCATCGCGGGGTCGGGTGGCGCGGGATCGAGGCGTCTCTTCTTAAATTTCTTGGCCCCCGGAGTCCGCAGGAGTCAACTCGCCCGAGCGTTACCTACGGAGGATTCGGAAGTGCAGCGAGTGCAGCTGCGTAGTTCAAGGTGGACCATGGCGTTTCCACCATGGCGTTACTGGTCTCTCTCTCTCTTTCTCTCTCTCTCTCTCTCCCTCCTTCTCCGTTGTTCTGGCGCGAGGAAGGCGACGGTGGCGCTGTTTGACAAGCGCAACTAGTAAACCCCGAGCCGAAGCGGAGCGGAGCCCCGTAAATCCCGATCGGGTGCCCTTCTCTCCTTCCTGCGCGAGAGTGCGACGAGGTTAAAACAGCTGTTCTGCTGGATGGTCGCGCTGACAGGGACGACGGTCAAGCGGATGAGAGACCCATCGGAGGCCCAGGCACTTAAATGATATCGCGAATATTCCGTGGGGAAATCGAGAATGTCGCGGTCAAACGCAAACGGCAAATCGACACTCTGAAAATCTTCAACGACAAGTAAGGACAAGGCCGCCCAATGTCGTCGTCGATCGCGGAGAGGCTCCGCTTCCCTCGGCAGACGTAGCCTCTCCTCTCCCTCCCCCCCCCTCTCTCTCTCTCTCTCTCTCTCTCTCTCTCTCTCTCTCTCTTTAACCTCACTTGACGCCGCATTGCCGTCGATAATATATACGGACGGTGCTCGACGTAGCCCGCGACGAATGGCCGCCCGCGGCGCGAAAAACAATCGGCCTTGTCCCGGGACGAGCTCCTCCCGTCGGCGGCGAGCGCCCCCGAGATTCCTCCCCGTCTCGAGACCGCGGCGTCATTGTCCCTCCCCCCCCCCCCGCGAGTCGCGCGCCTTCGAAACCGCTCGGCGACCGAGATAAGACCGGGGCTCGACAACGCCGAGACTTGACGCTGGGCTCAAGGTCGCGCCTGGTCTCCCTCAAATCCCGCTGGGTGGTGGAGCGTTAACGCGAGAAATGTGCCTTTTGCAGTGTGATAGAGCTACGGGAAAATGTGGACTATCAGGTGGAATTTCGTGCTGGCGATCGACGAATGGCTATTATGGTCTCCCTGTCGCCGAATTTCCCGCTGGAGAAGCCGGTGCTCAGAGTCTCCCCGCCGATAAGCCACCCCTGGTGCAACGAGCACAGCGAGATCACCAGCGCGCCGGGATTACTCAACGTAAGCTCGATTCGCGTCTCACTCGCGCGCCCAACTCGCGCGCATTCCGCACGTGTCCGGGATAATAAATCTCTCGCTGCCCACGCCAGTTTTCAGTACACAGCGACCTCGGCCGGGTCGTCCAGGCTATTATCAGGGAGTTCAGCAAGAACCCGCCGCAATTGCTGGAGGACATCTCGCCGGGCTCCACGAAGCCTCCTCACCCAGGTACGCCGTTTCGCTCGCTCCGCAACGCTCGTATAGATATAATCGTAATCGCCGCTCGCTTACGATTGCAGACCTGCAGGGGAGGAGCTCGCCGTCCTACTCGCTGCAGCAGTATCCCGTCGAGATTCCGGCGACGTCGTACAACTCCTATTACAGCACGACGCAGTTCCCGCACCTGTCGTCCTCCGACGCCAACACGTGCATTTACAACTACAACTACACGAACTCCGGTCACACGTACGTCTCGTCCTCGAAGTCGTTCGGCGTCACGTCGCACCACTCCGCGTACATCCCGAGCTCGAGGAACAGCACGGCCCTCCAGAACTCGACGCCCGCCCGGTACACCTCGGATCAGCACAGCGCGCCGTACTTGAACTCGCATTACGCGAACGCGAATTATCAGCAGCCGCTGCCGAGCCAGTCGCAAACCAATAGCATATTTCCCGAGTTGAATAGCTTAACTAACGAGGAGTTGAAGAGGCTCAGCGAGGATGACGACAGGCTGGACGACTTTCTGGAGAAACATTCCCAAATCAAAGACATGAACGCGGCGATCGAAAATGCTATGGATTGGGTTGAAAAAACTGCCGGTAGGGACCGAAATATTTAAGTCGCGGAGATACGCATTCTATTAATTCCTTCGACCTGTTTCGCTGTATTGATGTTTTCTTCTCGTGCGATTGATAAGTCTCTTCTCGTAGAAGCTAACGCAGCCAAAGAACCCGAACTGAAGCAGCTGCAGGCCGATGTAGCGGACAAGGTGAAGACGGTGGCGGCGTTGAAGGCCAGATACGATAATCTCATACAACGATACAACAAATTGTCCGAGGTCTTCACGCCGGATCACATAAAGGAGTGTCTGAGGCAGGCGGCGGACGAGAGTCATGAGGAGAGCGAGAAGATAGCGGAGGATTTCCTCAACCGGAAGATCGACGTCGAGCGCTTTCTCAGCACGTATATCGAATGCCGAAAGTTGGGCCAAGCTAGGCGAACCAAGGAGGAAAAACTGGCGCATCAGTTGAATGAATTGAAACGAGCTGGTTTCTGAAAGATGAATAGAATATATATATATATATAACCATTTTTTTCTATGACTCGAACAAAACTGTAAATAAGACTTAGTTAAATTAAACGTTATTGTGAATTTCAATTTATAGCATTCGTGATTACCAAATATCTAATGCGGCTAGAAGATTCGACTGAGGATTTGGCTGAAACGTGTTACGTTTAATTCGCTTATTTATGCTGCGTTCTAAACCTATTTTGAACCGTGTAACATTCCAGAATTGATGCATAACACACAGACACACACACATACACACACAAAGTGGCGCTAAACGAATGAAGTTGTAAAAACCGAAAGTGCTTTAGGATTAATTTTGAGGGAATACAGTTGCACACAGTATTCCGGACGTTTTAATGAGATAAAGCAATATAGTGAATTGAGTCCGCGTTGTGAAATTCGTGTAGCAAGTTTAATTCGTTGAGTACTTATTCCATAGTGAAAAGTAACATGGCTTTAACTATGTTAGTTTTGCACGAGCAACATGTACTGTCGCGATTCATTCTGAAACAAAGATACGTTTTCTACTCTGTAAATAAATGTGCAGGGAAATGTAATTAAAATCGATTTTTGAAAATTTGCTATTCGGTGACGTTACTCTTAATTATTTCTCCTGTTGATGTTCCTAAGATTGTAACATATTGAAAATATGGTAAATCGAGAACAAGAATGTTGAAGAGATCCGAAACCTTTCTCCTTTCGGCCGGGCCTAGAAATAAAAGCGGAGAGTAAGGAAGGAATAGCACGGAGTACTTACTTGTCATGTTTAGTAACATTTATTGTTATAAATTTTCTTATTATATCTGTTTGTACGTGTGTACTTTAAAAGAACTGGCGAATTGAGATGTCAACGAATATTGCGCAATATGTATATTCCAGTTTTATCCATCTCTGTATAAATTGGCAATATCGTTAAGCACGAGGCGTGCATTAACGTTGGAGTATAAAAATAATACATCAAGCAGCTTTCACACTTCTATTAAATGCACTATTCAATCCATCAGTGGCAATTGACGTTTCCAGCGTTTCCGACGACAACAGTGAACACGTCCAAGTGGAATTGCATTTCTCTTTGATACCGCGCGTTACCTTCTCTCCTCTTTTCACACACACTTTCGTTCTCGATACGATGGCAGTACAGTTTTCAATACAGCGGTGGTCCGACTTATCGATTTACAGTAAAATTTCATCACGGATCCACGAAGGAGATCATGATGTAACGCGTGCCCGCGGTCACCCGCAACCCCTCGTGATAGTGCGTCAGTCTTCCCGGATGCATCAGCATCCAGCCTGGCTTGGTGTCGGTGACGGAACAGTTGTATCGGATGAACCTGCATCCGCCGCCCTCGTAATCGACCCCCGCTTGATTCAGGGCGATATTGATGGTGTAGGTCGAAGAGTCGTGATGCGGCCTCAGGGATGGCTGCTCGTCCGGGCGGTACCTCACGATGAAATTCATGAGGGACCGCGGTGGCTGCCGACACGAAATCAAACGTGACGCATGGCTCAAAGCGAAATGATCTACAGCAACTGATCGTAGCTTCGAATGACGATATGTTATCTCAAATCATCTCATCATCCTTAACTCTAAAAAAATCTATGTACAACGCAGAGATCCCGACCCGATCACGTCCTACGAAGCGGTACAACCTACTTAAAGACCTCGTGCGTTTAGCGAGTGCGTGTACCATTGCGAGATCTGTGCGTGTTACGATCCCCCTTCCAGATACCTGAATTTCAGAATCTTACATAATCGTCGTATCCTGTAAAGACTTGCTGTTGCAAGGGACTGACATAATCTTTTAGAAACTTTAACCAGGCGTCCTGGAGACCGACTTGAGTCATGTGAATATCGCGGGTTGGTACCGCTTCGTATCCGGAGTCCAGTCGAGAATCCTGGAAGAAACAGCGAACAAAACTGAGTCTTACGTCATGAAAATAGCCGGTGAAGACGAGCTCCTGCAACGGCCTAACGTATTCTTTCAAGAAGTACAACCATTGCTGCTCGTACTGAACTTGGTTCATGTGAATGTCGCGGGTTGGCACGTTTTCGTAGCCACCCAACAATCGTGAATCCTGCCGAGAAAGTTATCGCAACAGTATGAGGACTCCAGTAACGTTACTAAGCTAATTGGCAGGCGGAAGACTCGCGCGTGCTGCTCAACTTACTTGATTAGATCCGTCCGACCACTGTCCGAAGGTCTCGACGAGTCCCACGAGCTCCTTGGTGAACCTGAGGCTAACGATGGGAAACCAATAGACGTCCGGGCACGGCTGCAAACAAGATCAAGTTGGACAAAGGACAGTAGGATAATGCATTGGTCAATATTTCCGATGGAAAGCCAACATTGGCCACGGAATGAATGCAAATATTGCACGATAATAATTACACGGAGGAAAATTCCCTGTTACGAGATAGACTTCTACCATGACATAGTAGGCTTTCAACGTCCAAATTCAATCACAAATCTTTTTTCGCAACGATTACACGATCTAGCAATGAATCGTCTACTAAACAGCCTTCACTCCAAGGGCAATGAATTCAAGGCGGAGAGATCAGCAGGTGCCTATTAATTTAGCAGAAACCCTGCTATCTCGTATTAGAAACTCCTCCCCCCCGTCAGCAAAATGTTAGCAGATTGGCAGCAGATTTAACAGAAGCCCACACCAAAACCATAGCCATCTGTGTCCGCATTTGGCAGAAATCGAACAGGTCCAGTTATGTGAGCAGATTTGGTTGTATTTCTGCCGACACGCTGGCAACATGTCGAGTATATCAGTTCCTGCATGCAATCTGCAGTCTTTCTGCCTTAAAAATTTGTAGCGGGCACTTGACGAAATCTGTTCCGGCAGATTTGGCTATCTGGCTCTTTCATAACAGAGGACTTTCCTCTAATATTAGATTTATATCGCAAGTGCCATTATCTAGCAGCGTAACATGAACATTGGTCTAATATCGATACAGTATCTCGCTGAATAGATATATTGGCTGAATAAGAGGAATATTAGATTAATGTTATTTCCCAATATTGCGCGAGTATCTCGCGCTACTAGGGGGAGAGATCCTTCACCGGCTAATCGGGCCATCTCTACCTGGATCGGCTTGTTATCGGGATTGAAGTTGTCGCTGTAATTCGGATGAATGTATCTTCTCTCCCAGTCCAGCTTGTTGTCCATGATCTGATACATGTCCGGATACGTGAGCCGAGTGTCGTAGGTGTCGGGATCGACGAGGTGGCCGAACTCCAGCCGATTGCTGACGTACATGAAGAGGCCCCGCTGGCGGTTGCCGTGGGCGAACGCCATCTCCGTGTCCAGGTCGCCATCCTCGTAGGACGGCCGGGTCGCCTTGTTCGCTATGATCGTCGCGTTGATCAAGTAGCAGTTACTGACGAACGGCACGTTCCACAGTCCCCTGAAACAGACGTCAGCGCGTGATTCGGCGAATCTCGCCGGAGAGAAGGAAGGTGGGCGATAGCGCGTCAGCGGAGGGCCCTTGTTTCAGCCCCCGTGACCGGGGCACGGTCGCGTTGTTTTCCGGAGGTCGTCGCTTAAGTGTTTTGTAAGGTGACGGCAGTGGTAGCGGCGATTGGCCGTTGAACACACTTGGCAATGAGTTATGCATAATTATCCAATTGAGATTCATAACTCTGTCGCAGCAGCGTGTGACTGCGCGTGTCCATCGCGCGTCGCCTCGTGGTTTCATTCGTATTTTAGGTGGTAGGACCTGGCGGATCCGGTCTCCGCGATACGCTCGTGCCAGAGGTATACGGCCAAGTCCCCCGTGTCTTCCGGTAAGGAATCTAGCGAAAATGCATTTTGTGCACGTCGATGAAATTGCGCGTCGCGCTGTGATTGGCATCGGTACAGATCCGTTATCGGCCCATCGATCTCGTCGAACTTCTCACGGTCAGCGAATCGATATAGCATCACGGTATAATGTAATATATGCATATATATAACATGTTAAAACAAAAAGAGTAGTGGGTAACGCTGTATAATAGTGACAAATGGGTTCGCGGATGAAGGTATATAAGGTGCTCGCGTCGCGTGCGTGCGCTGGTCACGCTCCAGTCGCGAGTCCAAGTTTCTCTGGTTATAGATCAAATGACGAGATGCCGGCTGCTCTATTTGCTCCTATTAGCGGCCCTGATGATGAGCACAGAAGCGGCAAAGGGCGGTGGTGGTAGAGGGAGAGGCCGCGGCCGAGGAAGAGTGTTCGGCTCGCGGATGCACATCCTGATACCCAATCGAAATCCCGCCAGCACGCACTATTACGAGAACAAGGATGTGAGTTGAGAGACCGAGAGTCGATCCCGCGTGTGCGTCCGTGTATCCGCGCGTGTGACCACCCACTTTGCCCGGCTCTTTCGCAGGGTGCCAAGATCGTGAAGGCGTCCCACTTTGAGCTGGACTACATGCTGGGCAGGAAGATCACGTTCTTCTGCATGGCGGTCGGCGTGCCGCGACCGGAGATCACCTGGCTGAAGGACGGGATCGAGCTGTACCACCACAAGTTCTTCCAGGTGAGCCTAAGTTCCGCGCAAGGCTACTCAGGTAGGCGGGCACGTCCTCCCTAGAAGGGGGACCCGTTCGTTAAAGAGCGGAAATACGTTTCGCGGACTGATCTCGGCGAGATTCGGCGATCGTTTGTGTGTTTCGTTCAGGTGCACGAGTGGCCGGTTGGTAACGACACGATTAAGTCGAAGATGGAGATCGACCCTGCGACGCAGAAGGACGCCGGATACTACGAGTGCCAGGCGGACAATCAGTACGCCGTCGACCGCCGGGGCTTCAGAACGGACTACGTCATGATCTCGTATTGAAAACGTCTTCCCCCGAGTTCACGGGTAGCTCCACGATCCAGCCATAGTATTAGAGAACGAATAATACACCCATGTGAAAATAGATATAGACATTTGTTATCGATGATTCACCACGCGATAGATTTTTACCTGATGCAACAAACGTTAGTTACCGAGGTAGCTCCAGTCTAGATTGACGGAAAACATTCTTTTTTTTTATTTTTTTGAGAGAGAGAGAGAGAGAAAGAGAGAGAGATCCAACTTTCTGCGTTTCGGTTCGGCGACGTTGAAAATTGAGGTCACATCAATGTACCCTTTTTTTTCTTTTCCCTCCCACTGATGCGACGGAAAACAGACCTCTTTCGGCTCGTCAGTGGGACGGTGCGAAGATACGAATGCAAATCCGGCGGTTCCCCCCCAATTCGTTAGAGCATGATTGGCCGTTATAAAGGGTATGCGACGCGAGGAACATATCGAAAATGGCCCATCACTGCGAATTTAACAAGGCAATTGGCAACGCGCCGCGCGAGAGAGCGGCATGGAAGGGCGTGCACATCGCTGCGTCGCCACCGACGAGCGCGAACAATCTGTAGCACAATGTGAAATAAACAATTTGCATGACTACCGGTAACGAGCGCCGTGTAATCGTCACAGTTATTTCCCTCTAACTGCGCGGCCTCCGCTTCCCGGCTCGAATTTTTTTTATTATTATTACTTTTTTGAGAGAGAACTCGCGCCTCGCGGCCAGCCTAAATTTAAAAGTGATCTACAATTGTGCCGGAAACCTGAGTCATCCGGAAGGAATGGACGAATGGTTGAATTAATGGATAAGCGGTCTGCAGATTTGATAGGAATTGATGGCGATCATGCAGCGCGAAGGAATAACCGCTGTGCATATAGCCCGACATGCATTATCTGCGTATAAGTCTGTAATAGATAGGAGGACACTAGGGGAGTAATGAGTAGGTGACTGTCAGTTACATCGGAGTTCCGTGTGATCGACGAACGCTGCAACGTACAGTGAGTATCCTCGGCGCGTTCTTCGCTCCGAACAGATAACAAAGCACCCAGGTGCAATTTCGGCATTTCCATAACGGTACCGCGACTCAATTCGCGATCGCGGGGGGCGATTAATCTCGATCGGCCCGATCCGCCGTCGTGTGGAGAACCGGCCGCAAGTGTTGAAAATCGTGAGGACATTTACGTGCTAACGAATTCCACTCCATTCCACTTTTATCAGATTATCATGTCACGCTCCATGCTGTTGCTAATCCTGCTGGGTGTATTATTGCTCAATTGTCAAGAGACACTTGGCCGAAGAGGACGTGGAAGGAGCCGGAGCAAGTCCCGCGTGCAAATTGGACTGCCCATCACCGGGAAGTACCGCGACCCGGAGAGCGATCAATATTACAACAATAATAACGTACGTAGAAGAGAAGGATTGAGCGGAGCTCTCTCTCTCTCGCGTCTCTCTCGATCGTTCCGATCTGACGAGAGAGATCGGTGTCTCAATTTCGCCTGAAAAAAAAAGAAGAAACGTCTCGTCGTCGATACATTAATTCTCTCTTCAGGGAGCGAAGATACTGCTGGCGTCGCATTTCGATTTGGAATACGTTCTGGGGCACAAGATAGCTTTCCTCTGCGTCGCCCGCGGCAATCCGCGCCCGCACGTTACGTGGTTCAAGGATGGCGCCGAGATTTACACGCATCACTACCTGCATGTCAGTGAATATATTCTCTAGTCTAAACGCGACGCCGTAAGATAGAAGTTTAGCCGATGCTGCGCGAGCTCCGCGAATTGATAATTTTATCGCTGCTAACGACAGTTCCACTTTCCGCAGATACACGAGTGGCAAGTCGGCCCCGATAAAGTGAAATCGAAACTCGAGATCGATCCCGCTACGCAGATGGACGCGGGAGTCTACGAGTGCACGGCGGACAATATGTACAGCATCGATCGAAGGTCTTTCAAGACTGACTTCTCCATCGCTTTCGATTAGCGCGAGCATTCGACGGCATTTCAAAACGAAATACGTACAGTTAGATAGGAAAACATATAAAGGCCCAAGGTAAAACGTAAACTTTTTACGATAGCCCCTAAGAAAACGGTAGACACTGAGAGAAATTTAGGACGATGTGCGCCGCCATTGTTGCAGAGGAAAGTTAAATTCGTCCGGAATGTGAGAGAAATTGTTCTCGGTCCTCGGTCGAAGCGCAGCTTCGGTATCTATTTAAAATTGTAATAATCTGCGCCCCCTTCTCTCTCCCAAGCGTACGATTGTAGTCCGTTGAAGCGAAAAATATAGACGATTGATATTTGTACACTCGCGCTTTACCTGCGTTCGTTCTTTATTATCTCCATGTAGTCGAAGCTCCGCGCGTAAAATCCATCGTCCGTTATGGCGCCCCAGAAGTTGCTCCACGCTTTGTACGGCCGTATGAGCAAGGGCGCGACGATCCCCCTCTGCTGCTCCACCAGCAACTTCAACGTGTACTCGTTGTCCAGATGCGCGACTGCGTCGATCGACAGATACCCCGAACACTCCTTCAACAGGCAATGCTCCCTGAAACAGGGCCGCTCTTTAGCATTTCCTCTAAATGTCGCGCGCCCCTTCACTCGCCTAACATTAAACAGCGTCGAGCCTTTGACTTATATTTATGGAGTTACGGAGCTCTGCTTACATCGCCAACTTTCTCGCGTCGACCTCGCTGACGCTGTCGCTCGGCAATATCTGCTTCGCGCTCAGGTATTCCTGGTCGATCAGCCCGAAGAAATCGCTCACCACGTCCTCGTGGTAGGGCACGTTGTTGTGAACGAACAGATGTAGCTTCGACTTCGGGTAGAATTGACGATAGATAGCGCCGAAGAATTCTTCCAGGAACGGCGTGGGACGCTCGATGAAGACGGCTATTAAAATAACCGGATACGCTTCCGGTCTGGTCTTGTCGAGCTCGACGCTCCGGTCCCAGCACGCCAGACACCCCTCGTTCGGCGTCCAGGCGCGGGCCAGATAATTGCCCAAGGAATTTAGGACTAGCTTGCTCAACCCGTTGCCGTGTAGCACCAGAGGCACCGTATTGTAGACGATGTTCTGGAGATAAGCCTCCTCCCCCTTGAACCTGAGCTCCACGTCGGCTACGAGGGACAACGTTACGGCGATATAATTCAAGTGCTGAACGTCGACGCTCCTCCCCGCGCACAGGTTCCGCTCTCTTGCCCTTACCTACCGCACCGAAGAGATTCTGAAATATCTCGGACTTGTGGTCCAGCTTGATCTTGTGCCGCATCCTGAGCTCGTCCTGCAGATACACGGTCGTGTAGAACAGTTGATCGTCGTCCTCGTCCTTGATGGACGCGGTGTCCAGGATCTTGTACACGTCGGACGCGTACCCGATGAAAGCGCCGGAGTTGAGGTAACGCTTGCCCCGCGACACGGGCGGATAGTGAGCCGCCAGCGACTTGTCCGGCCAGCAGTACGCCTCCGCGGAGAATAAGACCCGGGCGCCGGTGTCCAGGAATCGCTCGACGATGGCGGACAGACCGCCGAGGAATACGACGTCGTAGCTGAATGCGGCAAATGCGTTAGACAATGTGGTAAGGTGTCTCGCCCGCGGGGTCGGGATGTACTCACCTATCGGTGAACAGGACGATCCTCTCCTCGTCATTCCGGTGATCCTTCAGGGCTCTCTTGAAGAGATTGATCTTGTACCCGCCGCCGGCGTATCTCACAACGTTACCGCCTTTCCAGGGCTCGCCCAGGCCGAGGATGTTCAACTTGTCGCGAAATCCGTAGACCTCGGCCGACCTCAGGTACCTCCGGAGGCCGTCCGTCTCGTTGGAGGCAACGGTAAATATCAGGACATCTTAAGAAAAATAAAACATGATACATTAGTCAGCTGTAAGATGGATAGAGGCCGTGAGTGATATGAGACGATATGAGAGAAAGAGCCTTGTAACATTTTTTCTTTGTCTTGTTGAAGATACGAAGGGTCGAGATCGCACGGGAAGAGGAAGGAAGATCGAGCGGATCGACAAAGAGGATCGTTGCGAGCGACGCTCGAGAATGGACCGTGCATCATCGGGGGCGGGGGCCACGCTACATCGATTCCGTCATTGTTGCCCGGCTGGTGAACTCGTTTGCGTTACGCCGAACCCGTGTGATGTCACGCCGAGAAGTAGCGCCCACGAGAGCCGCGGCACGCACGCCGGCTGCGCTGCGAGAGAGAGAGCACGCGGCTCCAGCGCCTGTGTTACTGTCGATACTTACGCAAGCGAGATATTCTTAGAACAGATGCGCCGAAAACCCATAGGGATCTGAGGAAAGGCGCCTCCAAGGGCGTTCCGTTTGCAAGGCGATTGAAAAGATCGGGCAAACGTTAAAATATGCTCCTCGTTGGAACAACTTGAGCGAGGATTTTCTCTGTGAAAAATGTGCACGACTTATTAACAGAGGCTGACGCATGCTGACCTAACAGTTAGATATCAGTTCGGAGGAGCGATCGGCGGGCAATTTGGCGAGAAAGAGAGAGAAATATGAGATCGCCGTTGAATCGAGGAATTTCAAGATTGGGAGTATCTCTCGACGAGCAACGCCGGAAATGGAATGATAAGGACCGCGCACTCGACCCGGTTGCGTGCTGACTAAAAGAACGGAGTCGAATTAATTAAGTTAGCTGACGTTCTATAAGCGAAACGCGATCACGTCACGTATTCGTTATGTCACCCGATCCTCGCTGAGACTTGAACGATAAATTGTGTCTCCACGCATGGAGATCGCGCACTTTGTTTCGCCGTGACGGACATTATTCTCGTTATGGCGAAACCAAAGGGCAGCGTTGCAGTCATCCGAGCAACGATTAAAGACCGATTAGGCAACGAGAAATATTCGACGCATCCCACAGATAGCTTCCGTGACCCCGTCTTTATCCCCCGAATCAACATTTCTTTGCGAAAAAAAGTGGCCGAGAGACTTGATTAATCAGACGCACGAAGGCCATCTTGTTTCCCTCTTCGAAACGCCGATAACTTTTATTTCGTGGAAGACAGAATTAATCCTGTGAATCTCCGGGACTGTTATACAGCTTTTAAGTCTGGAGCGAACTGAAGCAGGGGTAACGAACTGTGTAAACTGTGTCTCGCGGATTAAGTAAATTATTTCAGGCACGCGTCGCCTCGAGGAGGAAGAGGAACCGAAACTTCCCGCCGACCGAGCTCGACAAACGGCGACCATTTCTCCGCTTTCCCTTGCGACAAATAAACGATTAAATACGGATTCGCATGATAATTCAAGTGGCCACCTCCATCTGTGCCGCCAGGTCCTGAAAAGGCCTTTACACTGCGATTGATTTTTAAATAATTACGCATTACTCTCTGCTGTAAATCGATTTACGACTGATTTCTCAGAAAGATTGAAGCGACCGTACCGAGGTACGCGTCCCCAAGTTGGGGATTTTTATTCTGGACTGGCGTGTGGGCGTTCGTGGACACCGGTTTTGGACAAATAAAGAAAATACGAAGGTAAGGAGAAGTGCCGCTGGAGAGTCCGCGAAAGAATTCCTGGATATCGAAGCTTCAGCTCCGTTTTCGCTGTAAACGATTCTAACTTCGTACAGTCCTGTTCAGGAGAACCTTTGTAACTCCATATACATATCCTTTCTTTATCAATAACTTAATTCAAAGAGCTGTTAAATAACTCTGCGTCGATACTGTGCGCAACATGCAAGCAACAGATCTGGTTTTCTCGAATGCACTTTCGTCCACCCGATGGAAATGTTTTACTGAAAATGCAATAAGATTTTGCTGAAATGTATTTCTTCTGTTTCATATTCCAGTAAAACACTCCGTGAACAATTATTTCCCTTAAAACGCGGTTTCTAATCAAGCTCAGTAAAAATTTCATAACACCTAATGTTTCATCGTTGTTTAACAGTATTCTTCAACCTGTCCTGTATTTCACAGTGTCATAGAACCACGTAAGGAAAATTACGATTTACTTCGAGATACGAGAGGCGAGAATTCTTCCACAACTTTCGTCTCACTTTTCACACCGATTGCATATAGTACTTGAGCAAAATACTGCCACCAGGCCACATTCTTTCGCCTTCAGAAGATCAGGGGACGGACTGTTGCATTCCGAGCGCAGAAATGCAACACGGGCGACCGAGGACAGGCCTAATGAATCACGTCACGCTCATCTGAGATTCACATTCAGTCCATATAAGAGCGTCGGAGGAAGCTCTCTTTCTCTCTCTCTCTCTGTCATCGTTGAGCAATGCCAAATGACAGTGTAGTCCACGGCGTTCCCGTGGAGGGAGAACAATTAAAGAAAAAAAAATGTTGAGAAGAATCAAACAGCCTGCCGAGGACGGTTTCCCTCTCTCTTACTCTCGCCCTCTCTGTATCGATCTTCGTTGCGCTATGTCACGGATTCATCCGTTCTGGCCTGAAAGGGCGATCGTACCGTTAACGCCGGCTGCTGGTGCCTCGCTGACCACGTGGTACGTCAGGAAGACGCAGCACCACACGAGCCAGCATCCCAGCGACGTCCCCTTGCCGCCGTACATCTCGCTCCGTCTCTCTCTCACGAGCGCACTGGCTGACAGATGCCCCGGGGTGGTCCGCGCCGCTCGTCGCTGACATACGTCCACGTCCGTCGCTTGGCGTCGCTTGACGCCGACTGCGCACCACGAGCATGGAGACCGACGGAAGCCGTCGCGCAGAGCCGTAATCAGAAGTCGCAGCGCCCGTAGTATGTTACCTTTAGCGCGCGAGAGGACCGTGCGGCTGGCTCTGCCGCATTGGAGTTCGAAGAAGCCCGAGAGGCTTCGGAGAATGAGCGGTCTACGTCGGGCGCCTGCAGGATGAGGCGACCGTAAAGGGGATCGTGAGATCACGAAGAGCTCGTGAGGAAATCACGAGGACACTATGATAAGACCAGGAGAACCCGGTTCTCTTCCTCGAATAGCTTGCGTATGGTATTTACTGGCCTTCTCTTGGTGGATGAAATGAGAAGCATTTTCTGCCGATACTTCATCAATGTTGCGAGAAAGTCGAGTGCCCCCTCGCGTTTTCAGGACAATCGCGAGAAGATTGAAAATATCGTATTGCAATGTATCTGCAAAAATCAACGAAGGGTCCATGTATCTTTGGCAGGAACCGTTGATGTTGGTCGATCAATGAAAAATCCTTCGTGGAGTGTCCCCAGTGAAAACAGTCTAGTCAAGGTGGTGTCAATATGACATCAAAATCGTTATTTGCCGTCGTTGCATCAAGGAATGTATCGCATTATTATATATAAATTATGTTCATATTTTAATATGTAAGTTCCTTCGATATTTCTCTGACCTGTTGCATATACATCCATTATCTTGCTTCGTTTGAACAATTTTTTCATAGAGCAAATATTGTACGATTTATTTAAGGTCGCCATGTTGAACGACTCACCCTGTATGTATTCCTGTTCGATGTAATTTCATTTTAGTTTTGCATTTCCTGCCGAGCTCTGCTGTAGACGGTAATCGTTTACTTTTGACATGACACAAACGTTAAAATGACAGTCTAAATCACCATCAAGGCACGGGACCAGTTTTGCAGTCAAATTATCATCATTTTGCCATTGTTTCGACTACTCATACCCCTCGTCAATTTGATGGCATTTTGACATCACTTTGGCTAGTTGGCTGTTTTCACTGGGTCCCCTTTCACGCATTTCCGAGAAAATAAAACTTCGACCGTGACAATTTGCAGTTGTAATCAACGCAAACACGGAAGATGGTACCTGTTGTATCGAGGTCTAACGCGCAAGGTTTCTTCGCCGGTCCATATCGCTTGATGACGAGTGACCTGTCGTCCGAGGTGTCTTCCTGGCACGAGAGATCGTTCGAGGGAACATAAACGTCCTGGCTCAGCTTCGTTCTGCACACTCCCTCGTTTCCCGCCGCAAGCTGATCTCCGTACAACAGTAGGACGATCGATAGCGCCAGCCTTCCCGAGACACTCCGTGTTCTCATGTCGCTTATCGCAAAATTACCTTATTCGTGTATCGTCAACAGTTACTGTACATTACCATGTTTCTTATGTATTTTGATATATTTGCAATCGACGAGGCGACGTTTGCTTTCCCCCCAGCTCTCGAAAATTTGGCTATCACGGATAAATATCGCCGATCGCTACGCGATCACACCGAGTCACATCGATCCGTACCAAGGGATTCGGATATTTATAGGAGAAAGCGGGAGACTCGAAAGCGAGACGGTTGATGGTTTTTGTGGTCGAAAAGAGCGGCTAACCGTTGCACCGTGTCGACAGTTTTGCCCGCGTGATTTCCTATTCCGGGGGAATAGACCGTCGTCGACCCGTGAAATTCTGTAATGAAACGTGAATCAGATATTCCAGTCTGATTTGTCCTGTAAACGATTTATATTGACATCGAGTAAATAAAGCTCGTTGCATCTACAATCAACTTGCTTCTTCCACCCTCCTGTAGTAGATTTGTTCTATACTCTTTTTTGTTTTAATCGCGTATTCTTCATCCCGCGCATACTTTTCGAAGAAGGAAAAAATACAGATCTGTTCTTCGAAAAGCGTTATCGTGAATGTAGGTAATCGAGTTACGCGAGCGAGCCGAGCTAATGCCTAACAAATCAAATTAACCGGCGACCTAATACGATTACTGGGGCAGTGGGGTAGACGATCTTGAGGCTTCTTTTGTGTGTTGTCGGAAATTGTCGGGCAGTTTTCACATGTCGGACATCGGTGGCGTTTAGTTCTCATACTTTTCCGCGTTGCTCGAAGGAGGGTAAAAAATGGGCAAGGACGACGCCGAGACCGTAGCCCTGAAGAAAGAATTGGAGGATCTCATCAACAAATGCAAGGTTTCTATCGTACAATCGAGGACCTCGCGTATATTAATGTTTCACGCACTTATAATTTATACGGGTATATAAATAGATGAGATTTTCCGACAACTTGCTTTTACTCATTCTGTCCGTTTTATTCGCTTCGCCAGGAGGACCAAAAGAAGCAGCAGGACACGACGTTGGAGGAAGCGTGCAGTGGGGTGGCGGACGCTTCGAAAGTCAGACTGTCAACTAAGAAGATGCTGAAGGGGCATATTAATAAAGTCAATTCGGTGCACTACAGTGGCGATAGTCGGTCAGTGTTAAAATCAGTAATAGTTGCTCGATTCGTTGGACCGCTGAAATGTCTTTCACGCTTTCGCGTCATTCGTGACGTATTAAACGGACAATTGTCGTACCCCGAGAGTCTTTTCTACCGAGAATAATAGATACATCTATACTGATCTACACCGCAGGCATTGCGTGACCGGATCGTTGGACGGGAAGCTGATCATCTGGGACACGTGGACCGGCAACAAGGTGCAGGTCATCCCCTTGCGTTCAGCCTGGGTGATGTCGGTGGCTTTCGCGCCGAGCGGCAATTTCGTTGCGTGCGGCGGTATGGACAACATGTGCACCGTCTACGACGTGAACAACCGCGACGCCACGGGATCCGCTAAGATCATGAGGGAGCTTCTGGGTTACGAGGGCTTCCTGTCGTCCTGCAGATTCCTCGACGACAAGAAAATCATCACCGGATCCGGCGACATGAAAATGTACCTAAATACGTAACGTTTAAGGATAAGATAAGGCGATTTCGCGGGTAATGACTGTGAATACCTTGTGTGTCCAGTTGCATATGGGACCTGGAGGCGAACAAGAAAACGACGGACATCGAGGCGCACACGGGCGACGTGGTGAGCATCAGCCTGTCCCCCGACGGCAACACTTACGTCACCGGCTCGGTCGACAAAACCTGCAAGCTGTGGGATTTGCGGGAAGAGAAAGCCAAGCAGACGTTCTTCGGCCACGAGGCTGACGTAAACTCCGTCTGCGTGAGTACTCGGCGCATTCTTACACCTCGCAGATTCGTTGCGGTCTTAACGAGGATGCTAAAACATTATTGCGTTCGTCGCTCGTCATCTTCCAGTATCATCCCTCCGGACAAGGTTTCGTAACAGCGTCCGAGGACAAGACCGCGAGACTGTGGGACTTCAGGTCCGATCAACAGTTGGCCACCTTCAAGCCGCCGAGCTCGAATCCCGGGTTTACGTCCTGCGGCCTGTCTCTGAGCGGCAGATTCATATTTTGCGGCAGCGACGATAACTCCATTCACATATGGGACACGTTGAAGAATCAACACAACGGTGAGCTTGTTCGTTCCGCCGGAAGGAAGCTGTCGTTATGAAAAAAAAAATGAGCGTGTTAGTAAAACAGACTTTTTGTTTCAAGGTGTCTTGTCTGGCCATGAAAACAGAGTGACGTCCCTCTGCGTCTCAGGCAATGGGATGGCGGTGGCCAGCTGCTCCTGGGATCAGCACGTCCGGATTTGGGTGTGAATATACATATAACGTTTAATACATTTAAAAGAGAGAGAGAGAGTTGTCTGTGAAGCAATCGATGAGAGAATGTTTTGGGCGAGATACATTACCACAAATATATTGATGTTAAAAGCCGACCGATTCTTCTTGCACGAAACCCGCGCGGTAATCTTGTTAATTAACTTTCTAACGAGTTACTGCCTTTAGTCTATAATTACAGTATAAATAAATCTGCATTAAAATGCTCTTTGCATTCGCGATCTGCATCCCCATTATAAGCTAAAATGTAAAGAAACACGAGTCTTCTGTTGTGGATTAATTCCGGATTTATCCTACATGTCTTGCAAATAAATAAATTACGTATGACGAATTGCGTAAAATTTAGAGTAACAATAAACTTCCTCACCAGCCTTCGAACCACAATGTCGAAACATTTATTAATTCGCGAAAACGGACGATTCGGTGGATGATCTGGCAATGCGAATTGCGCTTATATTTATTTCTACAACATAGACATATTACACGATGCTTCCCTATCGAATACGTTGCAGAAGAGTGCATTAAAAAAATTGTACCGTGTCTTGAGATTTATCCGCTAATGCGATACAATAGAGATTTGGTATATTGATTAGGCGTGAAGCGCGGGCGTCAAAAATACTGTTCTCTTCGCACAAACGGCAAGTATCATTACCGCAATAATACCATATATTTCATACACTTTGTTCTCGTGAGCATTAACTTAGGCCAATCTAGCGACAGCACATGACACGTGTGTGATAAAACGTTTAAAACTTATGCTAATTAAAAGTCTTTTGTAGTGCATCACAAAATTGTCATAGCTAATCTACGGCAAATCCTCTCCTAGTGAATTCTATGTATAATATAAATAAACGCAGCTATTACACAATCATCCATACTGTACACGTAAGAGTTGAACGTTAAAAGAGAACTGAAACCTCGATTTACCTCTAGCAAGTAAATCTTTTGGTAAAGGTCCGTTAACGGCTAAACGCGCGCGAGGGGACTCGCGTCGGAACTTAACATAAATGTACAGCGCGATTTCGACGGAATTGCAATACATCGGTCTCGAGAGTCTCTTACCACAGTTCTGTTAACGAACGGCACATCTTATGTACAAACAACAGTCACGGCCCGATGCGCGGGCGTGCTCGATGCGGACAGACGCGACGGGAGGAAAACACAAGTTTCGCGGAAAACACTTTCGGAAAGCGGGCACGGATTAAAATCCGTCCAGGTGAACGAGCAGGGCGACGATCGCTGTGGCCCCGGCCTCCTTGGTGGCCCACTTGCTGGACTCACAGTGCAGGTCGGTGCTGTCCTTGTCGCCGGGACTGATCGTGTACGAGCCGGGTCTCACCAGCAATTGGAACGCGGTCGATGCGTTCAGCTTCCTATTCGACTGCATGTCGATGTATCTGCAAGGTTGAAATTCAAATTGTGGCATTTGTGGATCAGCACCGTTTAGAAGCGGAAGGAGATACTCACGGGTACTTTCTCGTGAACTCGTCGGACGCCGCGTACTTGATGCTAGGCGAGAACGACACCTGGGGATTCTGGTCCTCGCTCTTAGTGCCCGCCGTCAAGTTGCTCAGGTCCAGTTGTTCTTTGGTCATTAGCTCTCCACGATCCAGAATCAATCTAAACGCCGAATGTAGCAATTAATACACGACCAGAGAGAGAGAGAGAGAAATCCAATTGTTCTCGGACAGATTAATTACCTTATCGCGTCCAGACGTATGCCGTAGAACGCGACGTGCCACTTGTCCGTCGTGCTCTGTGGGATCTGATCGGCGTTGATGCTCTGCTTCAGCGGGAATCTGGCCCAGCCGACCGGTATCGCGAACTCCGCCGGCGGCTCGCCCTTCTTGCAGATCGCATTGTCGCCGTCCACCTTGTAGCACACGCTGCAGTAGCAGACTATCTCGTCGGCGGAGAAAAACTCGTCTGGCAGAACGAGCGACTTCTTGAGCTGTATGCACACCCGCAGATAGTCGCACCTCCTGGACGACGCGATGACGGTGGACCCGAGTGGAGTGGACGGTAACGACGACGGTACAAACGGTAGCGAGGACGCGTTGTACGGCACGTCCCGCTGACCAGCCGTCGTGTTCTGGCTCGGAGGTACGTTCCCGTTGAAGGAGTTGTCGCGGACGTTGTCCCGACTCGCGTAGGACCGCGACTCGAAGCTGGAGCAGGTGTTGTTCGGGACATCCGACAAATTGTTCTGCTGCGCGCTGCTCGCACTATTGACTTGACTATTGGACGCTATGCTTTCGTTAATCGCGTTGTTCGCGTTCGCCCCGGTGATCGCCGCGTTCAAGCTGGTCATGTTGCTCGCGCTGGCGACCATGCCCTTCTGTATATTAATGTTAGTCGCGTTGTTTATCTCTACGTTTGTACACAGGGCGCGATTCTCCGCGTCGTGATTCGACCCGCTCGAGTTGTTCTCGGGCTGCTTGCTCAGCGCTGCCGGCACGACGACGTTGTCCAGGTACACTCGGTTCCTGATGCTCCGCGCGTCGTTGCTGAGCTCCGAGCTCGAGTCCGAGTTGTTGCTGTCGACGCTCGACGTCGCTTTGACGCCTACGCTGTTGTCGGCTACGTTCGCGCTGTTGTTACTACCGAAGGACGAGTACTCGGCCTCGAGATTGCCGTCCTTGACGTTCAAGCTGCACTGACTCGGCACGCTCGGCGACGTCGAAGATGGCGAGAGATCCAACGAGGTGGTCGCCATCGCACTCTCCTTCTCGTGACACTCCAGGTCGGCTTTTTCGCGCGAATTCTCCACGTCCTCCGTCTCCACGCTCGCGCACTCGAGAGGAGCCGCCAGCGCGTTGTCGATCGCGACACTCGTGTAGGAAGACTCCTCGTTAATTCCCGCGATGGACACCTGCTCGCATTGCCCGTACAGATCGATCACGGCGAAGACGTACGGTGGCAGGTCGGTCGCGGCCACCCCTTGATCCACGTTATTGATGAACAAGCGCAGCCGACTGTCCTCGTCGATCAGCAGGCCCACGGTAGAGTTGCACTGAAGGTTCTCCAGGCCGGCGCCGTACTTGGTTCTCACTCTCATGCCATTGTGGAATATCCAGTCGCTGCAGATGATCCAGGAGTGCCTCTTGAAGCCGAGCGCCGTCAACGGGAAGCTCGCCTGTTTCTCCGGCGAGATGCAGGACACGCCACAGAGGATATTCGAGACCCAACGCTCGTTCAGCTTCTCTATTTTTACCTGGAACGGCTTGCCCTTTATCAGCGGACGACTGGACATCACTACGCCCTGATTGTAGCTCGCCACCCGCTTGGCGACCGTCTTCGTCTCGAGCTGAATGTTCCTGCCGTGATTCTCGTGGAACTCGTAGCTCCAATCCCCGTCGCCGGCGACCAGGCTGGCGACGGCGGTCGCTTGCGTCGGCGTGAGCGTCACGTCGTTGATTAGCTTCCCCTCGGATACGTCGATGGAGGTGTCCATTCCCGCGTCGTTTCGCGGCGGCATCGGATCCAGCAGTAGCTCCAGCGAGTCCTGCAGCCTCAGACTGGCGTTAGGGGATATGGCGGGATTCTGCTGCCTGCTGCTGGTGATGTTCACCGCCACGGTGCTACCGAAGAGCTCGATCGCCGCGTACACCATCTCGGGCACGTCGGACGCCGCCACGCCCATGTCCTCGCCATTCACGTAGAACTTGAGGTTACCCTCGTGCGTGCGCTTCACGCCGACCTTGTCGCCCACTCGCAGCCAATCCAGACTCGTGCAGTAGTTGGAGGTGAGCGTGAAACCCGTGTGCCTCACCTCGTTGCCCGTCAGGTACCAGGCATCGCTGGGAATGGACGTCATGCCGGGCACGAGGTTCATCGACGTCAACCAGTTGCCTGTCTCGTTGCTCAGGACACCTATTCTCAGACAGCCGCTCCACTCGCGCGCCACTTCCTGGATGGCGATCTCGAACAGCTCGTTGTTCTCCAGCGCCGCCTCGCTCAACAAGACAGCGTTATTGTACTCCCTACACCTGGTCGCTACCGTTCTGTCGTTGTTCAGTTGAATGTTCAGCCCGACCGACTCGTGGAACTTGTGCAGAATCTCAGTCTGCGCCTGAGGCTGGATCACCGAGGTCGGCTGTTGGCTAATACTGTTCTCCGACGGTAGGTATTGTTGCGTCAAAGGATCCCTCCGCTCGGGCAACACGATCGTCACCTGAGATACATTGTTCGGAATTAATACGCTGAAACACGACTGTTCTTATCACTCGGGCAGACGTATACCTGCGCGCATTGACCGTACAAGTCGATCACCGGGTAAACGTTCGACGGTAAACCGGTGCAGGCGGGACCCTGGTCCACCCCGTCCAAAAAGTAATGTAAGGAGGAATCCGAGCACCGCATCATTCCGATCCGATTGCCTTCCATCAGCTTGTCCAAGTCGCAGCTGTAGTTGTTACGCAGCGTCACGCCGTCGCGCATCACCGTCGACCCGGAGAGCATCCACGTGTCGTGATCGATGTCTGTCATTGTAGACGGAAACTCTAGCTCGTCAGGTCTTATCACAGTGACTCCTGTGAGCAGTTTTAATCATTTACAGAAAATCGAGGGAAAACTTTATATCGCGTTTGATGCCTCGTGCTCGTCGCGACAATTGGGGTGGCAATTACCTGCTTCTATAGCACCGGACCACCTGGCAACCATTTTGTCTATCGTCACCTCGAACATCTCGCCGTCGCGCAGCGCGCGATTCGCAATCACAATAGCTTCGTTGAATTCGCCCAGGGCTCGCGGCCTGGACGCCGTCAAACCGTTGTTCGTAATCCGCGCGTTCTTACCGTGCACATGATGAAATCTCAGATCGCTGCCAATAGATTTACACAATGTAATGCGCGTGACTCGACGAGTCACCTTACGTATCGAATCGTACCTATACAATGTCGTATTACTAAAGCTCGAATTGTTTGTGGTCGGACTGTAAAAGTCCACGTTGTCGACTATGGTGGCTTGGGCGGCCTGCCCGTAGAGATCGATCACGCCGTAGACCTTCTCGGGCACGTTCATCGCCGCCACACCCTGGTCGGCGCCGTTCACGTAGAAATGCAGCGTCGCGTTGTCCTTCCTCATCACGCCCACGCGATCGCCGATCTGCAGACGGTCCAGATTCTGACCGTACTGATCTATCATGGTGGTGCCGTTGTGCATAACGCCGTTACCCGTCATCATCCACGTGCCGGATCTGCAATCGATGCGAGCCACCTTTGAGCAACACGTGGATCGGCGACTTACCGCACGCGCGAGACCGACCGGCGTGGCCTACCTGACATTCGTCATGGTAAACGGGAATTCTAGTTCCGTCGGGGAATGCGTGGTGACTCCTATCTCGATGGAGCCGGCCCACTTGGTGACAATTTTGTCCAGTCGAACTTCGAACAGCTCGTTCGGCTTCAGCGGCCTCGACGTCAATACCACGCCGTTATTGAAGTCGTCTATGGCGCTGCGAGAAAAATTTACACCCTTCGTTTAAGCGAACGCGTGCGAGCGCGGAAAAGTTCGTCAGCGGCGACGAATGTGTCTCTGCTTACTTAGGCCTGTGCGCTGTACGCCCGTTGTTGATCACGTCGGCGTGAGTCCCGCAACAGGGATGAAACATCAGTCTATCGGGAAGTTCCTCCTCGCCGACTTCTACGAAATTTACACACGTTATAACGCGGCAGCTCCTATTCCCGCGAAACTTGTCAGAGTTTCTACGTGTGTGTTTACCTTCGCTGTCCAGACCTTGTAGCTGCAACGTGTTTCTCCTAGTGACTAGATTCTGCTCCTCCCTCTCGTCGCGGTCGACAATGGTGACTTTCACGGTCATTCCGTAAAGATCTATCACACCCCACACACTCGCTGGCACTTTAGCCGCGACACCCTGATTCAGACCGTTTATCAGATAGTGAAGGTCTCCGTTACTCTGCCTAATCATTCCCACGCGGTCTCCTTCCTGAGAAACGACGTAGAAAAGAATAACAAAAGGTAAGTTTCAACGTATATTCAGTGGTGCCGTTCGCTGGCCCTATCACGCACCCTCAATTCGTCCAAGTTGTACTCGCCGTACTCGCGCTGCGTGCCCTTGCCGTTTGTCAGAATACCACAGCCGGACATCATCGTTGTACCCGAACGCATATTGGTCATCGTCGCCGGAAATTCCAGTGCCGTAGGGCTGTGAGTGGTAACGCCGACCTCTATACTCCCCGACCACTTGTACACTAGCCTGTCTATCCGTATCTGCAGCGTAGACATTTATAGAGAAAATAAGAGAGCAAATGCTCGCTACAGAATCGCAACAGCTGACCAGTCTTGCTATTGCAATTTATGTAAATACTCTTCTGCAATCGAGTACGCTCGCGAGTGCTCACCTCAAACAATTCGTTATCTCGTAGCGGCCTATGAGTCATTACGACACCGTTGTTAAACTCGTCGAGCGGCCTCCGCCTCTCGGCGGTCCGCGCGTTATTGGAGAGCTTCACCAACGAGCCGACCCTCTCGTGAAACTTCAACCTGTCCTCCCTTATCGCCGCGGGAGTTGGATTTTTCGGTAAATTAACGTTTACATTGACACTTAGATTAACGTTTAAGTTAGCGACTAGATTTGTCGTTGAGGAGCCGGAGGTTTCCCCGGCAGCGTAGTCATTATTGATCTCGACTTCGTCCTTCGGCGCGTTGCACAGTGCGGCGAGTCTCGGGTGAGCAACGCTGACCTGTACGCAGTCACCGTACATGTCCACAACGGCGAAAATACGCTCGGGAATGTTGCTGACCGCGACGCCCTGCGAGACACCATTGACGTAGAAGACCAGCTCGTGCTGCAATCGCGGACACAGGATTATCGTTAATTTCTACACGGGACGGATACGGACTAGCGAATTGCGAATTACATTGGACGTTCGCATGACTCCCAAGGTGTTCCCCTCCTCCAGATCAGTAAGATCCATCCCGTATATCTCCACGATGCGATCGCCATCGTGAACTATGCCGGAGCCGGTCATGATCCAGGACCCATGGCGGAGGTTTATGGCACAGGATGGTATCTCCAGGGTCTCGGGGTCGCATTCCGTCACTCCGATCTCTATGCTGCCGCTCCACGATATGATCTGCGCAATATACACGTTTTTCAGAGCTAGGGCCCCGGCGGAATAACTGTCTTTTGCTTTTAAGACAAGGAGGCCTTGTCTAACCGTACCCTTAGAAAGAGACAGAGCCGCTCACTTTTAGCATTTCCGCTATATTGTTTATTACACTATTCTACTAATTAATGTGAACAACTTTTGACTGAAATATTTTTTTATTTGCCTAATACTTTTTGAGATATTCGAGAGAAAATTTACGACTTTATCAATGTTTAGCTTATGATATCTCGATAACTGTCTGTCGGAGGGAAAAGTAGTGCGGGACTTCTTGACTTGATTTGGTCTCAGGAATATGCCGTTGCAATAGTGTTCCAATTATTGAAGATTTTTGTGTATTGTAACATACACAATAAAATTCTTATTGTATCATTATTAATTATTATAGCTGCGTTCGGCACTGCAAATCCGAGGCGCCGGGGTGCTCTTTTGTATTCGAGTGAGCGAAAGCGGAGAACGAGATAGAATGGGAGGAAGAGCGCTCCGACGCCTCGGATTTGCAATGCCGAGCGCAGCTTATGTGCTCTAAGTGGGTCAATTCTGTATCTTGCAATGCGGCAAAAATGCTCAAAGTGAGCGACTTTGTCCTCTTTCTAAGAGGACAGTTAGAAAGAGCCAGAGACTGCTCAGACTTTCAGCATCTCCACCATAGCGCAAGTTAACAGAATTGACCCCAATGTTTTACGCTCCAAGTCGAACAGAGAATGGCTATTTTGTCCTCCAAAGACGTGAAACACTGCGCGTCACTTTAAGAGGAAAATTTAAAGCGTAATACACGGTCTTTAAGGCTACAAGACGTCGTTCTGCTCAGGCCCTCGCGCACAATACCTGTCTTGTGCCTGAAATCCTAAATGTGTATACAAAGGCAATGTTCGTGAAGAAGCATGTACATGTGTAAACACACGAAAACAATTTTACCGTACAACTATTAACAATGGATACATTTTATAAACATTGTCCTGAAGGGTCAGCCGTTCCGCCGAGGTCCTTAAACACAAGCTAAACTTTCAGTTCCCGACTTCTGCTTAACGACCAATAAACTCATTATAGCAGGCTTTAGGCACGCAATTATCACGGCGTCTCGACGCTGCCTGTCAGTCTCTAAAAATGAAATGAAATTAAACTTGACGCACGAGGCAGGTGCGCACTCGTGATATTTATCGAAACGGACAGCACCGCGGGCTCACGTTCTGCGCCACGCCGACGAGTTATCTCGTCGTACGGGCCGAGCCCCAGGGCACGTCCGGGGAACGAACGGACCGCCTCGCGGTAGGCGGGCGCGTGCCACCGTACCTTCTTGTCGATGGTGACTTCGAACAGCTCGTCCTCCTGGAGCGGCTCGGCGCTGAACACCAGGCCGTTGTTGTACTCGGAGAAATTGCGCGTGGCGGTGCAGCCGCTGTTGCCGAGGGTGACACGGTGGCCGCATCGCCGGTGGAACATGTCGAACGCAGGTCACCGTGTCGCGTTGTGTATCGCGCCCGCCACCACCGCCGCCGCCGCCACCGCCGCCGCGTTGTGCCGTGCCGTACGATCGACACACCAGGCGCGCCGCGCCGCGTCGCATCACCGCCCTTCGCCTGCCCCGCGGTGTGTCGGGTCCGCAGTTTCCTATCTTGCGGCTCGAGAAGTACACGTGGGAAAAGTGTAACTCTTTAAAAGTTAATCGGTGGATCGTCACTGAGAACCGCGATTATTCACCGATTCACGGTTAAAGCGCTGAATTGACTGGGCGATAATGCCACTGACTTTTAGAGAGAGAGAGAGAGCGGAGAGTTGTTCCCTTCTTTTGGCACTCTTTGAACCTATTTGAAGTAAATATACTGGGACGCCGATTGTCACTTTGAATCTCAGGTTGCTCGGCCCCTGACTTTTTTCCCTTTACACTTTTCCCCTCCGAAAACAATAGAACCTGTTCGTTACGTTGTACGCAGGGAAAATGTGATGTCAAGTTTGTATAAGGATATCGATACTTTTCTGTTGTCGAGCTCAGCGAGATATATTCGGGGAAAATGTACCGTGTTGCATATTTGGATACAGCAGAATTATATTTGAGCTAATCTTTCGCGATTGAAGCGCCCTCTGGAAATTTACTGAGGAAATATCACGTAGTAAAACAATCGATAACAGTACCGACTGTAGATGACTGTATATTTTTATGGCAAATCTGTTTTTTTTAAATAATGTATAATTTTTACAGCAAGCAAATAATACATTTTTATATTCCTCTAGTAATTTATAAGTTTAGAAATGGTGATGTTTTGACTTATCTTTTTTTTAAATAAGACCAAAAAAATGGAAAGTATAACAGACACATTTTGAGTTGTACTTTAACTACTAGAAATGAAGATCCGCAGTATATGCTTGATAAGAATACAATTTTTTCTAAATTACGGATATAAAAAAATTAGAAATAAATTGTTTTGTTGATTGCTGTCCCTTTAAATTGTTCTTCATATTTAAAGAAAAGTTTAAATACTTTAGAATCTTTGCCACTCCCACCGTGTATTACATGACCACGAGTTCAATTGGCCGAAACCAAGAATTTTGCGTAGCGAGCGCCTCAGGGGAAAAAGAGAAATTGCCGGAAACTTACATGTAATACACGACTGTGTAATCGAAACTGTATAGTTCGCAATATCACCTTGTATTGTTCCTAAGACATGACTAACAAATCAGTTCGAGCCCAGCAACCACAGTGCTTACACGTACGCATATATTTTATAATTCGACTCTGTCTTATTCGACGATGAAGACTCACTTAGGTTCGTTTCGTAACTTCTATCCGTTTTACTTATTAACTTACATTATTTTATAATTACGTTTGTTGTTGATTTGTAGTACCACATTGATAGGGACCCAAAAATACGGTCAAAACGTTGTACTAAACTAATAAAGCTAATTAGCCAGTTGGGTTGACTGTAAGTGTCCTGTCTAAATTTTTAGAATCTTTAATGGATTTTTGCGACAAATGTTAAATTGTTCTTTTAAATTAATTCCTACCTTTAAAAATAATGCGAGATATAAAGATATCAAATTAATTGGTAGTAAGCGTTTTTATAATCTACTTTATATGTATATACATTAATTAATAAAGGTTACATCACAGTTTTCACAATCAGCAATGTAAATAACAGTATATATGTTAATGTCGTATAAAAAAACAACTTACAAACGTCTTTTCAGAGAATCTAAGACATCTTTGAGATATTTCTTTAATAAAGCTCTAAAGATGTATTAAAAAAACTTTGCAAAACGTTCTTTTAGATCTGCATGTTATATAATAATAATTCTTTGAATAGAATAATATAATTCTTTTCTCAATTGTAAATTTGTTCTTTTTTTTTGCATTTACCACATATTAATTCTACTTTGTGATCCTGGTATGGTGGTAATTAGTATATTATATATGTCTACATGTCTAGTCATACGCACACGCGCGCGTGCGCGCGTCGAATGTATCACAATATTGTTTGTATTGTGCACTCTGTTACGAAATACATTAATGGATATACGTATTATGTAAGGTATATTCAAATCATGTATATTATAGTAGTAGTAGTAGTAGTAGTAGTAAATCATGTATATAAAGCGTGGTCTACAATGGCAGTAGGAGTAGTGGATTAAAGAAGTAGGCGTAAAGGCTGGTCTACAATACATGGAGTAAGCTGGAGTAAGCTGGAGTAAGGAGTAGGAGTAAGGAAATAAATCCATTTTATTTCTTACTCCTACTTTAGCTCTTAGGCTTACTCTCGGTGAATCAAAATGCCATCAATCATGGCATTTTGATTC